AGGGACCAGCAGGTGGCATGGTGATTAGTTCGCTGGACTCCCAGAAGGTCACCACAGTTTGAGTGCTGGACTGGCAGCTTGCTTTCTCACTTTCTCTCCCTCTCTGTCTCTGGTGAGCATACGCACCCGACAGCAAATTTTAAAATAACAATAGTAATAAATAAATAAGTCTTTAAAAAAAAAAAAAGGTTCTGCCTTCTACCATTTCTTGATGCCTTTGAATTTCTTAGCCACCCACAAGTAAAAATAAACCCCTGGTCTCTTAAATCACTCAGTCTCAGATATTTTCATTAGGAACACAAAAACAGACTAAAACAACACACTTAAATAGTTGTAAAATAGGAGGCAAGTAGAGGCACAGTGGTGATGCAACTGGGGCCACATGGGAAAGGTCATGGATTCATATCCCTGGACCTCCCTGAGTACACCAGGCATGAGTGCCAGCCGTGATTTGGGTTGTCTGGGACTGGGAGTGAACTATGATGTGAGGACCCTTCTAGGGATATCTGTCTCTTTGTCCTCTGTTTCCATCTTTCTCATGGAGGAAATAAACTATTAAAAAATTTGTGAAGTTAGTGGAGGCTGGTGGTATGGTGATTAAGGTGGCTGGATCCCAAATGCGCGACAGTGAGGTTCAAGTCCTGCACTGACAGCTTGAAAAACACATCATTTGCATGCCCAAAATCCCAAGTGGAAGAATGGAGGAAAAGGAAAAGGGATTGCAGTGTGGTCATCTTCCCAGAATGCTTTCTTTCTTGCCTCCCCCGTCTCTCTCTCTCTCTCTCTCTCTCTCTCTGTGTGTGTGTGTCTGTTTTTCTCTTTCTGGCAAGCACATGCACCTTATAGCAAAACTAAAAATTGTAAAATGAAGAAATGAATCTTATTTTTCATTATACAGACAAGAAAACTGAGGCTCAAAGAAATATGTCACATGTTCAATATCATTCAACTAAAAAAAAAACTATAACTAGGAAATCAATCTAAACTTCTGTGTTCTTTCCACTAATTCTATCCTCTAAAAGTAAATTAAAACCTCATTTTTTTTAAGAGGTTTTTTTCACTATAGGGCACGTGCACTTGCCAGCCAGACAGAGAGAGATACAGAGACAGAAAGCGAGAAATCACCCCCCAGGGGGGATGGCCACACCACAATCCCTTCTCTTCCATTCTCCTCTCGGGATCTTGGGCACGCACGCACACACACACACCCGGCATGAGTTTAAACCACTGGGTCCGGGACTCAAACCGCGGTCGACTACGTGGGAGTCCAGCGACATAGCCATTACACTAACTGCTGGTCCCAAACCCAAATATTTAAGCTCCTTATTTTTGTACTATATTGGATAAACTGCTCTAAAAGATCCTAGAATTCCTCTCTTCACATACTGTTATTTGAGTTTAACTGCAGCAGGATTTTTCATCCTAGCTTCCAACAAAACTTCTAGGAATGCAATTGCCATGTGGTACAATAATTTTTTTTTTAAGAATCATTTTATTTAACTTTATTTATTTATTTTAATTTGACCAGAGAGGGACAGAGTATGTGTGAGAGAGAGAGAGAAAGAGAGAAAGTGAGAAAGCAAGCCACCAGTTCAGGACTCGAACTGAGATCAGCCATGTGGGGGTGCAGCATCCTTAACCACCCTGCCACCTGCTGGCCCCTAGTACAATTAATTTTTAAATCTGTCCAACACAGGAAAGAAAGACTCTTAGAAATCGCTAATGCTCAAATTAGATTACTTTTTTCTTTTTTTTGAGAGAGAGAGGTTTTTTGCTACAGGGCGCATGCGCTCGCCAGAAAGACAGAGAGAGACAGAGAGACAGACAGTGAGAAATCACCCCCTGGGGGGATGACCACACCACAATCCCTTCTCCTCTTGGGATCTTGGGCACACATGCACGCACATGCACCTGGCATGAGTTTAAGCCACCAACTCCGGGACTCGAACCACAGTCGACTACATGGGAGTCCAGCAACATAGCCACTACGTTAACTGCAGGTCCCTCAAATTAGATTACTTTTATTTTGTGTTGGTAAAAACCTCACCTGTGATCCTACAGATTTCCCCCTGAATACCATATATCAAAAACTACTGATTAAAGCAAAAAAAACCTGAGCCTGGGGAAGTTGAAATGAAATTGGAAACTATACATATTGCTGGTGCATAAATTGGTACAATCCATCAGGAAAAAAATATATAGCAACATAAAATGAATCATAAAAATGTTCATACTTTATAATCCAACAATCTCACCCCTGGGAATTTATCCTAGATAATTTATTCAGCAAAAGAAGAAAAACTATACACACAAATATCCATTGCATTATTGTCTTAATAGCAAAGAATACAAAAATAAAAAAACAGAAATAAAATATGCAAGAAAATGACTTAGTAAACTATAGTACATGCTAAAGATAAATTACTTTCACCTGTTAAAAATAATCATGAAAATTGGATAATGAAACAGAAAAATGTCATGGAAAATGAAAAAGCAAAATCCAAAGGCTTTATATACCATGATCATCAACTTTGCAGAAAGCTATGTCTCCATACAGACAAGAATTAAAAGGTGATTTTCAGAAATGAAAACAGCATTGTAGGTGGTATGATTTAAGATGTTTGTACTTTTTTCCTTCAGAATTTTCCTTAATGTTGTACTGATTTTTTTTCTATTATATATTCTGTAATTTTTCAGTTCATTATGAAATAAACCTGGATCTCTGAATTTTTCTTTAAATTTCACTTAAAAGGGGCTGGCAAGTGGTGTGGTGGTTAAAGGTGCTGGATTCCCACATGGCTGACTATGGTTCAAGTCTTGGATCTGGCAGCTTGCTTTCTCACTTTCTCTCTCTCTCTCTCTGCCCCTCTCTTGTCAAATTGAAATAAACAAATAAATAAAGTTAAATAAAATAATTCTTTTTTTTTTTGAGAGGTTTTTGCTACAGGGCGTGTGCGCTCACCAGACAGACAGAGAGAGACAGAGAGACAGAAAGCGAGAAATCACTACCCAGGGGAGATGGCCACCCCACAATCCCTTCTCCTCCATTCTCCTCTCAGGATCTTGGGCACGCACGCACATGTGCCCGACATGAGTTTTAAGCAACCGGGTCCGGGACGCGAACCGTGGTCAACTACATGGGAGTCGAGTGACATAGCCATTACGCTAACTGCTCGTCCCAATAAAATAATTCTTTAAAAATTTTTTCACTTAAAAACAGAACACCTGGCTCTTCCCACCTCGAACTAATAGTCCTCTACTTGAAAATAGAAAGTAACAAAGCTGGCTCCATAGCCCAGTCTTTACGGGAGAAGGATCCCACATGGCCAACTCAGCAGTTCAAATCCTAACTCTGGCAGCCTGAAAAACACATCAGATGTACGTGTGCATGCACAAAACCCAAATGGGATAAAAAAATGAAAGAGAAGGGACTGAGGTGTGACCACGCCCTACTGGGGGATGCTTTCTCCATCTTGCCCCCTTGCTGTCTGTCATTCTCTGGTGAACACACATGCCCTCTGACAAACAGGAAAAAAAGAAAAAGAAAAAAGGAAAGTAATATATTTCTAAATGCCCACATCTAAAGATGGAGAACAAGAAAATAGGGCTGATCCACCCATGCTACTATTGTCTGAAACCTGGATGATGAACTCAGAAATGCAGAGGAAAGGGAGAGGGACCACCAGGGCCCTCTGCAGGACAGCGGTGTGTTCCCAACGCTACCTGGAGCAGCAAAAATGTCAGCACCACAGTCACCTGCCTCACCAAGCAGCTGTCTGGCCTTAGCTCCCATCTGCTCATTTCACAGGTATTGTCTGAGGCCCTGACTTTCTGAGAAAGTCCAGAGATCTCAGATGACACAAGGCCATGTTCTACTTCCCAAGAGACCTCACAGAGAAGGACACTTCTCACGGTCATGGGCCTGGGCCAGGTGCCCGGTAGAAGGGACAGATAGACTCCTGCCTAACATCTGGTTGTTACGCAACTCTGCACATAAAGAACTCAGCTTTGTCTGTTCTCTGAGTCAGCGGACCTACAGAAACTAAGTCACACTAAACAAATCTCTGTGAGCTGTGTGTTTAAGTCACATTGTCGACTCGCGAAGGAGATGGAGTTGACTAGAAAACCAGTGCCAAACAACTGCCAAGGGCACTCTCTACCCTGGAGATCAAACCATCCACAAGAAGAATGCTGAGTGGGACCAGCAGTTGGTGTAATGGCTGTGTCACTGGACTCCCACGTAGTTGACCACAGTTTGAGTCCTGAACAGAGTGGCTTAAATTCATGCCGGGTGCATGTGCATGCATGCCCAAGATTCTGAGAGGAGAATAGAGAAGAAGAGATTGTGGTGTGGCTATCACCCCCGGGGGGTGATTTCTCATTTTCTGTCTTTCTGGCAAATGCATGTGCCTGCATGTGCCCTAAAGCAAAAACTTCTCCAAAAAAAAAAAAAAAAGAAAGAAAGAAGAATGCTGGGTTAGCACAGAAGCCAACATAGCATGCCAGGACCACTCAAGGAGGCCTCTGTTTCACCCAGGTGGCCTCGGGGAAAGGTTGCAGCTCCTCTATAACCAACGAACCTGGAAAACCTATCCAGAAGCAATGTTCTAGCATCCAGAACCTGCCTACCTTGCACAATTTGGGTCCTTGAGCCAGAATCTCAGTTACAATACACCGGATTACTAGCTTCCATTCCCAAGGCTCTGCCCAGCCTACCTCCATTGACAGATCATCTTCCTAAGGAAAGTTTCCAGGTAACTCAGTTCATATTCTGTGTATTCTCCAGCAAGTTTTGGTGTCAAATAGGGAATGACCTCTTCTCAGACCTTCCTTGTCCCCCACTCTCAAACCCCTTTCTGCTGGTCACAAGCAGTATGTGATTAAGGTAGAGTGATGAAAAAACATAATGCTGTGAGGTCAGAGAGGGAGTGGCCACTGAGGGAAAAGTAGGAGATCTGGTGAGGGGAGACTAAAGGTTAGGCACACACTCCATATCTTACCTGCTGTGTAGCCTCTGGCAGGTTATTTGGCTCTTCTGTGCCTCCGTTTTCTTGCATATAAAATGAGGCTAGTAGTGCTGAACTCTCAGGTAGAAGCATTCTGTAAACTGTAAGGTGCTCTGAAAATGCTGGCTATTATCACTGTGGGCTGGAGTGTCCTGGGAAGAAGCAGAATGTAAGGTGAGCCTCAAAAGTGGGGGAAAACTCAGGTTATGAGGGTGAAAGAGAATGGCACTCCATACATGGCAAACGGCTTGAGCAAACGCAAAAATGCAGAAGGGATACAAGTATGGCTGTAATAGAAAGCTCGTGTACGGGAGGAGTTGAGGCGAGGTTGGAAAGTTGTGTTGGCTATATTCTGCTGATAACAGGAAGCCACTGAACTTTTTGACCAAGTAAGTAAAAGAATGAGAGTCACGTTCTTGGAATATTAACCTGGTGAAGACGTGAAGAATAGAGAGCAGAGGAGATTCAGGATGCAGGCAGAGTGATCACAGAAAGATGGGTGTTCAAACTGCAGATAAGAGATCCAACTAAGGCCTGAATGAAGGCAGTGGCACTAGAGCTCGAAAGGAAGCAGCAGGTATGAGAGATGTGGAAACCAAAGAATACAGTGACCGTGTATTAGAGAAAAAGACGGCTGGGTGACAATTTTCAGGTCTAACATTATCTAGGTGGATAATGGTGTCACTCACCAAGATATAAAGAAGGCACCAGTGAGCAGGGAAGATTGAGTTCTTTGGATATGTCCATTTCGTCCCTAGAATTGAGAGATACTAATTTGTAATAAAGTGACATACAAGCATGGAGCTCAGCAATAGAGATATAAATTGAAGTTATCCAAGAAGACTGGGTACTGTGAAAAGACAGGAGCAGGGACAGAAGGCTGAGACACATCAACCTTCAATGTTGATTTCAATAGTGGACAAAGTTAGAAGAACCAGAAAACAAGACTCAGAAGTAGCCAAAGAGAGAGGATGGCAAGTATTTCTCTAGAAAAAGAAGTTAAAGAAGAAAAATATAACAAAAAGAGCAAATGGTATGAAAAATGGGAAGAGTCATTTCGGCACTGGGTTCATTGATGCTTTTAATAATATTACAGCAATTTCATGCAGGTGGAGTTGAGAGCTAGATCCAGTGGATTAAACAATAAATGGGAAATGAACAGATGGACAGGATCTATAGGCTACTCTTTTGGGAATGTGACTATAAAGGAAAGATCAAGGGTAGTAGATAAGACCCTGAGAATTTAGGGTATTGTAGCAAAAAGGTATTTTAGCTGATGGGAGCAAAGGAGAGGAAACAATTACGCACAAGGAAATTAACTGAGGAGAAAGGATATTGAACATTGGTTCATTTAAGGCACTAGGCAGGCCTCTTCCACTATTAGCGAAGAAAGGAGGATGAGGGAAAGTTCATTTACTCACTCAACAATCACCTGCTAAACATGCAGTACATGTCAGGAACTGGGAGTGCATGGATAAAACAATCCTTGAGTCCTTAAGGAATTTGGTGTACTAGGGAAGACAAATGTAGATTGGAAATTATATAGGAGCTGCCACCAGTGTGGTGGTGCAGATGGGGAAGTGAGTCAACTATGGCTCGTTGTGCCAGAGAAGCTTCACAGATGCTTGCCTCCAGCCAAGGTTGGACAGGGGCTCTCTGGTCCAGGGTAGGAAGGGATCACAGGCATGTCAGATTTCTGAGAATATTTATATGTGGTGTTTAAGGAAAGGATTTACAGGGTCTGGATTAAAGGGACCAACAGACATAATGTCCCCAAAGCACGGCAGTTTGTTCAAACTTGGAAGGACGCCCCCCACCTCCCGCTCCGCCAGCTTATCAGTTAAGCATGGTGCATAGAAGCCAGATTCCATATGGCCAACCATTTTTCGAATCCCACATGGGCTGCCAGAATTCTGAAAGGAAGTAGAAATAGAGCATTAGGGAGCGGCCAGGCCCCGCTTGGCGGGGGTGGGGGTGGTGTATTTCTTAAAAAATGAAAAACTTAAGAGGCTACTCAAGACACACAAGGACAAAGAGCCCATCTAGGAGTGTGGGCAAGTGAGCCCTGCAGGTGACAGGCATTTAGGGAAGACACCCCATCCCCACGAGCCATGAAGCGCTTCCAAGGAACAGAGCAAGACACCAGGTGGGCACTCTGAGGACTAAATAGCGCCAAGCGATAGAGCAGACTCGAGACCAGGGGAGGCGCGTGTGCCTGCGAGAGTGGGTCATCGGTGAGGAACTGAGGGCCACGGAGGCCCTTCGGGTCGGCCTGGGTGGTCTCTGGGCCAAAACGTCAGCAAAGGGCCTGGCCCGCCGAGGCCGCGGCGGCGTGCGCCCCAGCGCCCGGGATTCCATAACAGCTCTCGGCTTCCGAGCGAGCCTGGTACAACAGACCGCACGGAGAAGGGTTCGCGGCCACCAGAACTTCGCTGCGAAGGCGACAGCACGCCGAAGAACGAGACAGCCGGCCGACGCGCGAGACAGAAGGAGCCCCGCCCGAAGCCCGCCTCCCCGGCCGGAAGTGAGGCCATTGGTCCCGCCCCCGCGCCCGATACCTCGCGAGACTTCACGGCGGCCTCCCTCTTTCGTCTTAGTCGCCGACATGGTAGGTGATCTCTTGCTTGTGTCCGCCTCCTTGCCGGCGAGCCCTGGTCCTTATGTGCCCTATCCAGCTACCCCCGATCTTAATCGGGTATTCCAAAATGCGCTGGACGAGCTGCAGTGCAAGGTGGCCGGCGTGGGCCCGGAGCGGGGCGGGGAGCCCGGGGCCGCGTGTTTGGCCCGGGTTCGGATATCCCAGACGCTCAGGCCCAGCACCCGCGCCGCCCGGAGGAGGCCGCATGGCCGGGGCTCGTCTAACTTTTCCTTTAAAGAAAGCGCCAGAAGGCAGATCCTTGACCCCCCTAGGCCTGCAGCACCTTCTCGGGTCGTCGCCCGCCGCTGTTTCCGTAGGCCCTACCTCTAAATTCGTTTTTCTGCACAGCCATCCAGACTGAGGAAGACCCGGAAACTTCGAGGCCACGTGAGCCACGGCCACGGCCGCATCGGTAAGTGCCGGCTTCATCTCTCGGTCAGCCTTGGGCTCTTTTTCGTTGAGCTTATCGATATCCGCAGATGGGTAGCTTAGAAGCATGGTAGGGTAAGGTATTTTGGTGGTGGAGTCCTATCGTCTTGGAGAACCGTCGATTTTCTTCCCTTTTGGCATCCTTTAGTACTTGTGTTAAGTTTCACATCAGTGGGGGGAATAAAAAAACCAGCGAGGCACAGAGTACTGCATTAGGTGAAGTGCTTTGGGAGTGCGGTGCTGGGACGAATAGCAAAGCAGCAGTTGTAACTGGGAACGGCATGAGCAAGTGAACATGAGGGGGAGGAAAGGCTCGGCTTTGGCGGGAGGCCGTATGGAGGAGCTGGGGAAAGCTGTGTTAGCCATGTAGCTTTGTATTCCCGCAGGCAAGCACCGGAAGCATCCCGGAGGCCGGGGTAATGCTGGTGGCATGCATCACCACAGGATCAACTTCGACAAATAGTGAGTGTTTCTCAGACTGGGGTTTCACTGACGCTGACAGCTTTGGAGGTGAGGGGCAGAGAGGGCTGGCTTAGAACACCTGAAGCCTAGAAGCAAGGGTTCGGGTATCCCAGACCATTAAGCCTTTTAATCACAGGCCTGGCCTGTTGCTGGCTTTTACCACATTAATTTGATGTGGAGTGACAGAACCCATTCCCGAGGCTAGAGTCACGCTTGGGTATCCACTGTTGCCTTAGTGTGCTAGAGCCCTCGGAGAGTAACGGCTGGCCTTATTCACTGGCTGTGGGCCTCGTGGCACAGTCAGTCACCAGGTTAGTGACATGCATTGAGACCGACCTACACAACTGTTAGATTTGCCTGTATTCATAGAGTAGGGGATGATAGATTTTGAATGATTTCTTTAGGAGATCTGTATTACAGGAGTGTGTGGATTTTCAGTAAATCTGACATGGGACCTGAATTTTAGTTTCAGTCTGTCTCAGATTTTCTCGATGATTTACTGCTTCTATCAAATAAGGCTAGCTTTTCCTCCTAATATTCTTTGGTGTTTCTTAAAAGTTTTGTTGAATTCATCCAATGCGCCAAGTGCTTGTCATGTTCTTGTCACGGATACACCAATGAGCAATGTGTACACTGTATGGGGGAGAGTGCATAATATTACTGTAAAACTGATGGACAGCTTTTATCAATAGTTGGAGTGAGGTTATGAAAGTTGTTACTTTCTCTTCTCAGTCACCCAGGTTACTTTGGGAAAGTTGGTATGAGGCATTACCACTTAAAGAGGAACCAGAGCTTCTGCCCAACTGTCAACCTTGATAAATTGTGGACCTTGGTCAGTGAGCAGACACGGGTAAATGCCGCCAAAAACAAGAACGGAGTAGCTCCCATCATTGATGTAGTGCGATCGGTGAGTGAACTGGATGTGGGTCCCTCTCTCCCCCTGAGCAAATCTGGGTTACCCTAATCTACTTACTCTGCCACCTGACTATCCAGTACTTACTTGTTTGCCTAAACAGTGCCACCCTTTGGTAAAATTATTATAAATCAGTGTCCAAAGTGGAATTTTTCTCCATCCCACTTCATGCCTTGCTCCTATTTACCCCCTTAGAAGTGAAAATCCAGGAAATGTACATCCATCAAATGTTTTGCTTATGGTTTGGGCAAAACATTTTGTAGAATAATCCTCCATTTAGTTCATTTTCACTTGTTACTCAGGCTATACATTATCTTAAGAAGTTTTACCCCCAAAAGAAACAATTTCTGTATATCATTGTGGGTTCTTAACAGAGGTGTAGTAGTCTTTTAAAAGCAAGAACCCTAGAGAGACTTTAGTAAATGTTAAATCCCCATTCCTAGCCTATTTAATGTCCCTTGAGCAGTTTTTGGTGATCAGAATTTGGAGTAACGCTAAAAATGTAGGTGTCCATTTTTGTCTAGCAGGGTAAATGAGCTGGATAGAGGGAGGGTTTTTTACCGAGACTAGAGTCACATCCTGACACAGCTCTTGTCCCGGTGTGCTAGAGTTCTCGGAGAGAATCTCCTGGTCTTGATTCACTGGTGGGGGCAGTCAGTGTCCCTGCTAGTGCCCAGATCAGAAACATGTCCTACGTGGGTCTCAGGAAATGTGAGTTGGCAGGTTCCTTTTCTTACACCCATTCTGGAATTGGTACCTGCTGTGGTGTGTAATCAACCCTTTTCTCTGCTCTTCTAGGGCTACTACAAAGTTCTAGGGAAAGGAAAACTCCCGAAGCAGCCTGTCATCGTGAAGGCCAAATTCTTCAGCAGAAGAGCTGAGGAGAAGATTAAGAGTGTTGGGGGGGCCTGTGTCCTGGTGGCTTGAAGCCACTGATTAAATGCTAACAAGTGCTTTTCCCTTGTGTTTGAGTAGGTCCTTTGTCATGCATCTCTACATCCCTAACTATGTTGGAAACCAACCTAATTGATTCTCAGAGTTAGGGGGGTGTAAGGGTATGGGTCCTCTGCTGACTCCCTCTCAAAGTATATGCTAGGTAGCAACGTCAGGTGTTGGCCAGTTAAAGCATTTTTGTTTATAAATTGGAAATGATACTTGGTGATAATTGAAATACCTGATGAAAGCCTGCTGCATTGTGCTCTTAGTTTTACAGTGAATGGGAAAATTGAGATGGCCTGATTGAAATGCCATTTGTGTGGTACTCTTGAATTTGATCGTGGATCATCATTTAGCAGTGGATTCAATTCTAAAAAGCAGCTGTCAGATTCACAGATCCCTGTGCATAGGATTCTTAATGTTCAGAGAAAGATTTCACATCTGTCACAATAACCCTTTGGAAGACGTTGGGGATCAAATACAAGGAAGCACAGAGGAGAGACTGAATTGACTTAGGAGTAAAGAATTACTAGGAGTCAGGGACTTTACCTGATTAGATAGTCTTATAATTGGATCATTTTGGTTTGCACGTTCTGTTATGGTACTAATGTAGGAGAGTAAAAATAAGGGCTCTCCAATAAAATCTTTCAGAGGACTTAAATATGAAAGCTGAATACAAGGATCTACAACATGTCAGTAGTTACCGAAGAATTAATAGACTAAATATTTGAATTTCCCAAGTGGGGACCTGGAAGCCAAGACTTTGAAAAAAAAAAAAAAGATTTAGGATGGAAAAAGGATTCTGAAGGTATATGGAAGGGGGTTTGGGAATAAGGTGTTAATGGTTACATTTCTTAGGAATTCGTTGGTGTTTGGACTTCCCCTGTGGTAGGTAGCATGACTACAGATAGGACAAGAGATGGGACAGAACCCCACCCCTAGATGTCAGTGCTAGTGGACCTGCTAAATGTAATCACAAGTACTGTCTCAAACTAGATGGCCTAGAAGCCTTCCCATCATCCACAGGCCTAAGAAGGGTGGCTGCAGATCCGGAGCCTTCCTTGTTCTGAATTGACTCACGCAGCCAGAATCTACAGCCAGGTAGATGCCATCTTAGTCGGTATGTAGGCGCTAATTAGTTGAAGCTGGGTGACAGGAAGAGCCAAGTGTCCATGGCCCAAGTGAATACCTGACACAAACCTCTGAGAGAAACTGTATATTTTGATTTTACAGTTCAGAATGAAAGATGGCTTAGGTAACAAAAGGTGACCTGCCCATCAGTAAACAATGTTGCTAAAGACATTGTTCTGCCTCATCAGGAACCGAGTAAAATAATTGAGGATCACCTTGATCCCAGAGCCTTTTTAAAAAAGATCTGCTATACGGTAATGCACTCACCAGAGAAGGGAAAGCGAAACCAAGGTGCCAGGTCCAGTTGGCCATATGGAAGTCCAGCGCTAAATCGCGTTTTAATTCAGCTAGATGTGTTCATCGCCTTTGAGCGGCTAAGTACCCTCGAGCAGCCGCCCTTGGAGGTGGCCGGGAGGCGGCACCGCGAGCGGAAGGTGGGCTGCGGCCGCCTACCCGAGCTTGGAGGCTTTACCACACTCCCGCGGCTGACACGGCACCTAAACCATGCTGTGCTCTTTGGCCCGAGGACTACTTCCGGAGCGTGTAAGGTTCTGTTTCCGGCGGTACGCAGACTCCCCCTCTCGGCCGGAAGCATGACCGGCGCCATCTCCCTCTCGCCTCCCCGTTTCCGGCCGAGCGCGGGCCGCCTTACGCGCTTGGGGGTTTCCCGGGCGACGTGCACGGCCTCGCTGGTCCGGGTCGCAGTTGGGCCGTGGGTTTCCTTCCCGGGGGCCTTCCCATACGCTGTCGAGATGGGAATTTCCACACCGCCGGGAAATGGACCCTGTTCCGACCGGGCTGAAAGCTGGTGAGCGCCGGATAGGCCCGCTGGGACACCCGTGAGGGACACCAGCGTTTCGGTAGTTTGAGTTGCTAGTGAACACATTACTTGCCTATTTAAAAGACAGTAAGTGGATTTTTTTTTTTAAAGTTGCCAGAAACTTGACACTGCTGAAACGTATTTTCTCTCATTCAAGAGTTCCCCGGCCTTGGGACCAGCAGTTGGCGTAGTGGCTATGTCGCTGGACTCCCTTGTAGTCGACTGCGGTTCGAGGCCCGGACCCGGTGGCTTTAACTCACGCTGGGCGTGTGTGCGTGCGTGCCCAAGATCCTGACAGGAGAATGGAGGAGAAGGGATTGCGGTGTGGCCATCCTCCCTGGGGGGTGATTTCTCGCTTTCTATCTCTCTCTGTCTCTTTCTGGCGAGGGCATGCGCCCTAATAGCAAAAACCTCTCCAAGAAAAAAAGTTTTCGGGCCTATTAAAATCACACCTCCACCTCCGTAGATAAATCAAGATGTTTGGAATGCATACCACCACATTATATGGCTGTGGAAACTATTTTATGTGTTTCTCCTCTTGCCAAGAATACAGATGAAAGGGTTTGCATCCCACTTTTTGCTTTCATTCCCACTTGGTGTAATTCTGTCATTTTGGGCTTCAAGGCAGTCGACACATAAAGGGTGTTTTTAAAAATATTTTAACCAATACGATAAGGCTTATTTTCTTGGGGCCCTAATTCCACAGCGTGAACCAGAGTTTGAGTAACTGCTTTCCAAAAGCACGCCTTCTTTAAAAAGTCCAAGCTCCTTACTTCAGGACTACAGTTCACCAGTGCATGGTTACCTATTTTTTTGTGTTTGTTTGTTTTTTGGAGAGGTTTTTGCCATAGAGCACTTGGACTTCGCCAGACAGACAGAGAGATAGAAAGGGAGAAATCACCCCCCAGGGTGGATAGCCACGCTGCAATCTTTTCTCCTCCATTCCCCTCTCGGGATCTTGGGCACACATGCACACACGCCTGGCATGAGTTTTAAGCCACTGGGTCCAGGATGTGAACCGCAGTCGACTACATGGGAATCCAGCGACATAGCCATTACACTAACTGTTGTTCCCAACCAGTGCATGGGTTACTTATTGAACAGAGCATTTAGAACAGTTTCATGGGGTGCCTTGCCTTGCACTGAAAGTTATCAGACAACCCAAAATAGAGAATTGACACCCCTTCAGGTGCTGGGACTTCCAACATTTTGTTACCCTGAGCCCCTGCCCCAGGGTGGTCAGCACTGCTTGGGAACACTTAGTCTTCGAGCCATGTTGCTGGATTCCTATATGGCCAGCCCCAGTTGAGTCCCAGACCCAGCAGCTTGAAACATGCTAGGTGTTTGTGTGTGTGCATGCTCAAGATGCCAGGCAGGGACCAGCAGTTAGCGTAATGGCTATGTCGCTGGACTTCCATGTAGTCCACCGCAGTTCCAGTCCCGGGCCCGGTGGCTTAAAACACACCGGTGCATGTGCGTGCATGCCCAAGATCCTGAGAGGAGAATAGAGGAGAAGGGATTGCGGCGTGGCCATCCCCCCTGGGGGGTGATTTCTCACTTTCTGTCTCTCGTCTGGTGAGCGCACGCGCCCTATAGCAAAACCTCTCCAAAAAAAAAAAAAATAAAGATGCCAGGCAGAGAATGGAGAAGGGATTACAGTGTGGCCATCCTGGTGGGGAAGGAAGGATTTCTCATTTTTCCTCACTGCTTCCTCTCTCTCTCCAACAAGTGCATGTGTCCTAAGGCAGAAAGCTCTTTAAAAACAAACCAGACCTATCTCTGGCGTGAAGGTGGGTTAGGCACCGGACTCCCACTTGGCTGACTATGGCTCAAGTCCTGGACCTGGTGGTTTGAAAAATCACATCAGGCAAGTGTGTGTGCGTGCGCGAGTGCCCAGAAATCCCAAAAGGAGAAGGTGGGGCCCTCACCCCTGAAGTGTGACTTCTCACTTTCCTTCTCCCTGTCTATGGCGAGTGCACGTGTACTATGATGAAAACAAAAACACCTAGTCTCAGTGGTGGCAATAATGTCTTTTTTTTTTTTTTTTTGAGAGGTTTTTGCTATAGGGCATGTATGCTTGCCAGAAAGAGAGAGAGACAGAAAGCAAGAAATCACCCCCTGAGGGGGAAGGCCACGGTGCAGTCCCTTCTCCATTCTCTCCGGATCTTGGGCTTGCACGCACATGCGCTCTGTGTGAGTTTAAGCCACTGGGTCCGGAACTCTAATCGCGGTCAACTACACGGGAGTCCAGCGACATAGCCATTATGCCAACTGCTGGTGCCGGCAACAATGTCTTATTAGGGCATTTTTTGGGTCCCAATCACCAAGGAAACATGAGCAGGGATGCCAGCTATCCTGTAGTGGTTGGGCTGGTCCTACATGACAAACTGCAGCTTAGACTCCAAGTCCATTTACAAATAAAGAGGTTTGTGTATGTGTGTGTTTATAGTATTTATATAATTTTAATTTTTCTGGGATTCTAACTACTTTAAATTAGAGGAAACTCATACTTTTTGTTCAAACATTACTGAAATTGTTGGTTTCTGAAAACTAAAAAAAAGGACCTGAGTTGCTAAGACAGTGCACTTGATCTGTGTGCACAGATACCTACTGCATTTGCAGTAATCATGCGGCATGTATTGGCATCTTACCTCATTGTGTCACCTTGTACAGTTGTGCCCAAGCATTTACATACTTACTAAAACACGATTTATAATAAAATACCTTTTATTTCTTCCCTTTTATATTACAGTTAAGCTATGTTTACTTAGATTATATTTTCTATGCATTTGATTTCAGGATAGTGAAGGGGTAAGTAAATATTTGCTGTAAAAAAAGTGTTGGATCTGATCGAGTAGAAAATTGCTGGTCCAGAAAGCATGTGAAAGCAGGACTGGGAAAACCCTGAGCATTTTTGTTAACCTCAAACCAGGCCTACTATACACACCCTCCTCTCCTCTCTCTCTAAGGCTTTCTGAAAGTATGTGCCTTTGCCCATAAGCCCACATGTATGGGCCCATTCCAAGCTGTTATGTATCAATATCAGTTTTCAGAACTGGGACGAGAGCTGTGGCCACAGAAGGTTTAGAGACATACTCTTCCAGGATTTACTCTGGGGTTAACAGGCACATTTTTAAAGGTATATAAAGGCTCCAAAATTTATAAAATTTAGACACCTGTACATTTTGTGACCTCATCATGTCTGAAGGTTCTTTAGAGTCACATTGAAGGCGGGGGGGGGGGCACAGAGGACAGACAGGGAGAGAAAAAGGAGCACTCCTTAGAAACTATTTTTTCACTATTACTATTAAGGAATCTACTTCTATGACTGTCATGAAGCCCAGGTGGAGTAAACAGAGATGAGTTCTGGAGATTATAGTTTTGGTTATACCCAGTCTTCTCTCATAAAGATCCAGAGACCAGCACGAAAACCCAGACTCAAGGCCTTAGTCCCTGGCCTCTTGTTCCGGGCAAATGCCAAAGCCAGGTGTGTAGGAGGGTTTTTCCGAAGACAAGACAAATCCTCTATCTTTGCTTTATGAGGCACATAGCAGGCCCATAGCAGATGACCAGGCAAGCTAGAGGTTGGGACCCACACAGGCCTCAGTGGAGATAGAAAGAAGGAAGGAGGAGACTCAGGATGGGATCACCTTTTGTTTAAATAGGCTAGGGATGGATGAACAGGAAACTATTCCACGGTTCAAATCCTGCCAGACCCAAACCCAATACCAATCAAGAGTATTCTAGCTTAATGCCTCATCCCAGGAGTCAAGGCCTCTGCACTACCAAGGCCTTGGTGGGTGGAAAGCCTAAGCTACTCTTGTTCCCTGCTTCTTTCCTTGCTCTTCCATGGCACATAACAAAACTAACTTTTTGTACGTCAAGGGTTCCAGGGGAAAAAATACAGTGTGACATCAAAGAGTCACAGGCAGTAGGTCAGGACCATTACCAAGTCCTAGGTTGGCATCAGCTGGGCTTCATCCCACCACTGACAATGATGTCATAACAGACTGAATAGGGAAATGTTAAGATTTCATCTAATAGGGAACCAGCAGTTAGCGTAATGGCTATGTCGCTGGACTCCCATGTAGTCGACCGCGGTTCGCATCCCAGACCTGGTGGCTTAAAACTCACGGCGGGCGCGTGTGCATGCGTGCCCAAGATCCCGAGAGGAGAATGGAAGAGAAGGGATTGCGGCATGACCATCCTCGCTGGGGGGTGATTTCTTGCTTTCTGTCTCTTATGTCTCTCTCTGGTGAACGCACGTGCCCTATAGCAAAACCTCTCCAAAAAAAAAAAAAATTAAAAGGGGGTGAGATTGGAGGATCCAAAAAAAAAAAAAAAGATTTCATCTAATAATGGAGCCAAAGGTCAAAGAGCATTCTTCCCATTACTGGAAATACTTTAGAGTTGGAGCAATTGGTTCTTGGGGAGGAAAGCTAAACCAAAACAATAACTAGAGCAATGATGAGGCATCTTCTAGCTCTAAGACCAATCTACAGCTCAGATTCACAGAGCTTGGTTCTGGGGAGGTGGGGGCAAGGGTTGAGTGACCCACACTGATGCTAACCCCTTAGTCAAGTACTTACTTTCCAGCATGATGGTGTTTGATCCCCAACTGGCCTGTCTCAGCCCCTTTCCAGTAGAAAGATCTCTAGGTAATGAAGCCAAGGAACACATGGGGCTCTGGGCCCAAACAACTGTACACTGTTTATTGAGAACACCCGTAGATGGTGGGAAGAAGGGATGCCCTGTACCGCATCATGGCCACCACTGGCTGGGAGCCAGGCCCAGAGAGCACTGGCAGAGCTGGGGGGTGGGCCTCCCATGACTCTCTGACCACCTCAGAGAGTAGGAAGAACAAGGGAGGACTGAGAGCCTGGTTCCACACTGTGAAGGGGGACTGCTTGGCCTTTACCTTTCAAAAATAGAGGGGTATTACTAGAAAAAAATAGAAACTCTAAGATTTAAAAAAACATAGTCCTCCTGTACAGAACAAGACAGCATCTGCTCTCCAGGGCCCGAGACTGGCAGCAGGGGCCTGGGCGGGCAGGCAGGCCAGAAGCCTCCAGGGATTATCAGTGGTTCGGCCGAGACAGTCAGCTGCACATAATTGGCCAGTCACCAGCACCCAGCAAAACTCCATCCATGCTCAGGGCAGGAAAGCACCCGGCCCTTGGGACTATACAAATATTTATCAGATTCTCTTTGCTTGTTACAAAAACAGTTAAGAAAGCTTACAGCAGATTATTTACAAACAGTATCCTGGGATATCATGAAGGCAGAGGTGGGCTGGCTTGGAGGGTGGGATCTGTGGGGCAGAGCAGCTACAGCAGCCCTGGGGGTCCCAGGCTGGGTATCCTCCCCAGGCTCCAGGCTCTGCAAGGCACTGGACTCATGCGAGTCCCAGCTTTTGGGAAAGGGGTTTAATTCTTCTTGTGGAGGAACTTCATTTTGTTGCCTGTGGGTCAGAAAGGGCAAGAGTGAGAAATGTTTCAATGTCATCTCTCCCAGCCTCCACTCCTTTCTTCGTATAGATCTAACTCAGGGTAGTGTAAACATTTGATGAGGGCAATAGTATTAATCACTGTGTGGCCTTGGGCAAGCCACTTAATCTCTCTGGCCTTTCAGATACACTATGGCTCTGGGAGCTGGCTGGCTCTGCACCCTTAAGGGAGCCATGCTTTGTAGCCAAGCACTGCTACTTTTGTAGACTCATAACCTAGAGGAAAGCTCACTGGTCCCTGATAGCCCTCATATTCACACAGGAAGGACTGCACCCCAAAGACTTCTGTGAGAACCTGTGGCTTCTCTGTTCCGCAGCTTGGTAAATGCTGTGCTAAATGCCTGTGGACCAAGGCTGGGAGCTTTCTCTGCACCAAGGGGTCTGGTCTCCTGTAGTCTACAGCCCTGGTATAAATACCCGCTGGTAGTGACAGATCTCCCAACCCCTCCTCTCTCTCCCATCCTGCTGCACACCTGTCTCATCAGTAACAAGGCAACTTACCCAAACCTCGGAGAAACTTATTCATTCCACTCTGCTCAGTGTCTGGAAGTTCCTCTAAATACTGTTCCACTCGCTGCTCAAAGAGGCCTGGGCAAAAAGGAAAACAGGAGGAGGGATGAGATCATTGAAGGAAACAAGAGGAAGGCCAAAGATAGGAATCATGGGGAACAGATGCCAAAAAGGAGAAACCAAGCATGTGGGATGTAACTGGAAGGAGCATCTGATCAGAATTCAGACTGGCTCATCAAATGATCATAAGTCACATCTGACAGGTGTCTGTTGGTAGCAAGAAGACTCTGCCTTCCTCAGAACATTCCTGACTGCATCATGCTCAGGATGACCTGTCCCCAAGTGGATACCTTCAGCTTCTTTTAGATTGCTCTCTCAGGTTTTTTCAAAAACATTTCTTACACTAAATGGATAATATTTGTGGACAGAAGAAATAATAACTCTCATATTAGACAGATCTTGATAAGAAAAATCTCTAGAACAAGTCATAAATAGAGATAAGATGACCCCCCCCCCGCCTTGAATGGGGACTGCCACCAACCTAGGACACATAGCCTACTCCTAAGGGACTGCCCAACCCCTGGGTTCTCAGTCCTCCCTCCCACCCAAATTGCTCAGTCTGAATGAGATGGGCTTCTGAGGAGGGATGGGCAATGCCACTCTTAGGGGAGATGTACTCCACTCCCCTGCCTATGGCTGCAATCTGTGCACAGCCCTGTGAAGGCTTTTCCTGGGACAGCAGAAGGAAGCTCCCCTGGAAGCTTCTATCAGAGGAAATGGGATGCTGAAGGCCTGGCCTTAGCTGACACCTACAAGCTTCCATCACAGGGCCTAGTTATTCAGCCCTGTCACAGAAGAGGGCCCACACCCTCATCCCAAGCTCTTCTGGCCTTACCCTTTGCCCGACACTTTCTTAGCTCCCTGTCTTGGATGAAGCCAGCAAACATCTGCGACTCCATAAAAACTTCAAGGAAACGGCGGATGCTTTTGGAGGCCACAGACTTGCGGAAGGCCTCTCGCTGAAAGGCCCTCTCCCCCTTCTCACTCTGTGTCAGGAAGAGGGAGTAATGCCCCACGGTCTCCACAAAGAACCGGATAAACACCTCTGACACCAGCCCGTTGAGGGTATTACATTCTGGAAGAAAAAAAAAAAAGACCTTTGAGCTTCAGGTAGAGAGCTGCAAGGCCTGCCCCCAACCTCCAGTAGGTGGGGTCTCCCTCTCCCCACAGCACTTCCAGCCAGTACCACTTATCTGGTCTTGAAACTTTTTCTCTTGTGCTCAGGGGCTTGTAACTTAGCCCCTGAGCTCCCGGAGGTTGGAAACTGTGCTCTGAACATGGAAGATGGTCAATACTTGCTGGATGAATGGAAGTAGAAATCAGAGACCAGAGCACCTCTTCCCCCACATCCCTCTCCCTCAGTGATTTTCCTGGCCTCTTAGAAGAGCAAGTTCCCAAGTTCCCTCCATCTCCTGCAGTGGCTTGAATTAAGGCCTGAGGGGGAGGAGGAATTTGTTTCCTGTCAGCCAGAAGCGTCTCTGTAGTTGCCACAAGTCTTTGTGCTTACCTTCCCAAAACCTCCTGGGGTAGAGAAAAATGATCAAAAGTGAGCCCCACACCATCTATCTGGAGCCTCATCAGCCAGAAGGGTCTGGTGCAGAGAAACGGTCCCAGCCATATGAGGCCAAGGGAGTCTAGGACTAGGGCAGATCCTGCCAGGGCAAGCCTCCCTCACCATCATCGGAGTCGCTGTCAGAGTCCTGGGAGATCAGTTCGTTCTTTCTCTCTAGAGCCTGCTCCAGAGCTGCCTGTAACTTCCTGGGTAAGAGTGTGTCCTCATCATCCATCTAGGAGAACGGAGAAAATGAGTGATAATTAGAGCTGGCACCAAAGAGCACTTACGATGTGCTGAGCCCCCCCCCCCTTTTTTTTTTTGGAGAGGTTTTTTGCTATAGGGTGCGTGCACTCGCCAGACAGAGACAGGCAGAGAGATAGAAAGCGAGAAATCACCCCCCAGGGAGGATGCCCACGCCGCAATCCCTTCTCCTCCATTCTCCTCTTAGGATCTTGGGCACGCATGCACACGCGCCCGGCGTGAGTTTTAAGCCACCAGGCCCAGGACGCGAACCGCGGTCTACTACATGGGAGTCCAGCGACATAGCCATTATGCTAACTGCTGGTCCCCTGAGCCCCTTTTGAAGAGCTCAAACACATATCCTCTCATTAGCCACGACACTACTACCGACCTCATTCTAAGAAAAGGAACTGAGGCACAACAAGATTAAGAAGCTTGCCTAACGAGACCAGCAGATGGCATGAAGGTTACGTTGCTGGAGTCCCACGTAGTCAACAGCAGTTTGAGTCCTAGACCCAGTGGCTTAAAACTCACACTATGTGTGTGTGTGCCCAAGATCACAAGAGGAGAATGGAGGAGAAGGGACTGCAGCGTGGCCATCCCCCAGGGGACGATTTCTCTCTTTCCATCTGTCTCTCTGTCCTTATAACAAAACTCTAAAATTAAAAAAATAAATAAATAAATAAATAAAACTTGCCTAAGGTTAAACAGATAAAAAGCTGTATAGCCAGTGGCATTCACCACCCAATCACCCACTGTGGGAGGACTAGCCAGGGGTTCCTATCCTAGCATCCAATGCACTCTCCCCGATACCTCATCTTCAGCTCCAGGTGGGAAGCCAGGTGGCATGGGACAGGGGGACTGTGGCCCAGCCTACACCTCAGGCATGAGGCTAGGCTATCAGTTCCTCTTTCTGTTTTGGTTCAGGGCCCCTATCATGGAGCTTTGGCTCTGTCTAGGGTGTAATAGACAGTACCTTCCTGGAAGAAACAGCACTGGGTTGTGCTCTAGGTCATGCTCCTCTGTAGAGAGCTGGGAGGGTTTCCATGACTAACAAAGGCTTTCTGTGGTTGACAAAAGCGACTGCAAATTTTTACATTACATAGCACTCTGGTTATTTGTGTAATCCCCCAGCAACATTTTGAGGCAGGTGTTAGCACCGTCCTGGCTTAAGAGATGAGAACACTGGCTCAGAGAAGTTCAAAGGCATAAGACCATGAGATATAGGTCAAAGGTGGCAAAGCCCAGAGGTCAAGTCTGCAGACTTGCAAGCCATGTTCTTCACACTTCAGACTGCCTTTTAAAAGCTGATGATGCCAACCGAACCCTGATAAGGTCATGAGTCAGTATGGAACCACAGAGCTCAGTGAACAGAACATGCAGGTTGAGTGTACGAGTGGCAGGTGGGAACTGGAACCTGACGGTGATCACCCCAGGGCCAGTCGTGGTTCTGCAGTGTGCTGCTCTTACCTGCCGGATGAATCGGTCAGATCCCAGATTCACCATCAGTGCCTGAGGAAAGGAGTCATTAGTGGTAGTGGGTCAGGGTACAAGTCCTGCAATGCCCTCTGCCAGGTCTCCAGCCTGCCCAGGTTCCCAGGGGCAGATAATAGGAATAACTCCAGCCAGGATGACCCTCTCGGGGGAAAGCATAGAAGTTGGGCAGAGAGGCCCAGAAGCCACAGAGATCCCAGCAGCCTCTCCCTTCCCCCTCTGAACTTCTCTACCTTCCCCCCAGGGCTTCCCATGGTGACCTACCTCCTCCACAGGCAGCTCCTTCAGTTTAGGGAGGGAGCTGGAGAGCAGGCCAACCAGGAAGGGGGTGGGGCAGCAGACGATGTCAATCATGGAGGCCGGTAGGACAGGAATGAAGGTGTGCTGCCAGGAGAAGGGGTACAGCAAGGCCACCACCGCGTGGGAACAGCTGGAGAGAGTGCTGATGGGCAGAGAGAACGGGAAGGGCACTGAGAACCTGCTGGAAGCGCAGCACATCCTACAACACCCTCAGGACAGTAAACTTGCCAGTGCATCAGAAATGCTAATGGGGCTTGGAGGCCTAGGTGGACCCACAAACAGCTCCCACCTCTCCTGCCATTGCTTAGGGTCTCGAGGATACTATGCCAGCCTCTTTGGGGACTCTACCTACAAACAGCCATGAAAATATGCAGCAACACTTGAACACACAAAGGACTTTCACACACACATGCCCATGGGTCACCCAGATGTATAGATAGGCCTGGGCTGGTGTGGGAGTATCACGAATCAGTGTGTACAAGCGGGAAGGTCCTACAGAGGTCATCTTACCAATTCTGCCTGTCACAGCCAGGGCCAGCAAAGCCCAAGGTCAGTGTGATCGTAAGCCACAGAGCTGGGACACAAGCAGTTTTGCTGTCTCCCAGCCCAGCCTTACTTCTGCTGTTCCACCCTCTCCCTTTCCATCTTTTCTTCTTGGCTGGAAACTGGTCTGGCAAATAGGGAGTGTGCAACATCCAAAGGTCAGCCAACTGGCACCATTCTCACCAGAGAGGTGCCCACCACCTTTCCTCTCTGGTTTTAGGGGGTTCACCCCTCACCAGGAACCTCATGGGGCTGCCAAGCCAAATGACCAATGGGAGATGGGGAGGGCAATTCTGAAGGTGCTAGCACGAGTGCACAAAGGTGAGTATACCCGTCCATGTGTGCTGAGGCCGGTGTGAGCACCAGGAAACACAGGAGACACTCTGGCCTGAAGGAACCCCACCTGTCAAGAGGAGTGCCCAAGGCCCTCCCATAGGGGCCGGCTACAAATGAGGGGACAGAGGCTCAGAGCCCAGCTCAAGTTAGTACTGGCTCTGCATCTGTCAGCCATTAAAAGTCCTGGGCGCTACCTGAGCAGCCGCAGCTCACACCTAATGCCCCACCAGTGAGAGGACATAGGTCCCTGCTATGACAGAAACAAACTCCCTGTCCTAGAAGGCCCTCTGAGGGACCAGCAGTTAGCATAATGTCTGTGTTGCTGGACTCCCATGTAGTCAACCGCAGTTTGAGTCCTGGATCCGGTGGCTTAAACTCACACTGAGCGCGTGTGCATGCATGCCCAGGATCCCGAGAGGAGAATGGAGAAGGGATTGCATGTGCATGCGTGCCCAGGATCCTGAGAGGAGAAAGGAAGAGAAGGGATTGCGATGTGGCCATCCCCCTGGGGGGTGATCTTTCGCTTTCTGTCTCTTTCTGTCTTTCTGGTGAGCGCACACACCCTACAGCACCTCTCCAAAAAAAAAAAAAAAAAAGAAAGAAAGAAAGAATGAAGGCCCTCTGATGTCCACAAGTGCTTATCATCCGCCTTGCTTGGCTGTCCTGCTACCCTGTGCTGGGCCTCGAGAGAGAGGTGCAGGTGTCCTGGCTCTGACAGCCCCTCCCCTGGAAACAGTTCCTCACACAGACATCTTAAAAAGATCTGGAAAAGGACTATCTCAGAGCTAGGAGGCAGTTTTTGTGTAACCACTAAAGCCAATGAATACAGAGCCAGGGTGTTCTCCCTATACACACACACACACACACACACACACACACACACACGCAAGAGGGACAAAGGACTTGAGGAACACCTATAACATGTGCTCCAGAACATGAGCCAGCTGGACCTGCCCTGTCCAGGTCAGGCCTGTGTGCCATGGCTGTTTGCTTCCCCTCCTCTCCAGGGAGACCCCAAGTGGGAAGGACATCTTTTCTAAGACTCGAGACCAGCAGGACTTGAATGCGGAGCCAGGCCAACAACAAGACCCTGAATATTTTCCTGCTAGAATGGTCCTGGAATGTGCTCAGAAACAGCTGTGACCACAGGAAACAATTGCTGTATTCACAGCCCCAGGGAACAGGGCTGGGGGTGGGGTGGCAAGAGGAGGCTCCATTAAGTGAGGGGGTGGGACCTTAGGGTCTAGGCTCTGTCAAGGCCAAAGGTCTGGCCAGACCAGAGCAGCATGGCTGGGAAGCCAGGGGACTTGCACGCTGACAACGACCATGTTCAACCATGTTTGGCAGAAGGCAACAGGCCACCTCTTGAAGCCGCAAGGCCAAACCTGTTTCCAGGGCTGGGCCAGCCACTTGACAAGGGCCTGACATTCCCACAGGACCCCTGGAGCTATGGGACACAGCACCTGCTATGGCTGAGATAGGATCAGGTCAGGGCAGTTCACTGCTAAGCTCTGGTTCTCTGGACAGTCAGCAGCTCTGGTGCTTCCTCCTGCCTTCTCCTGGGCTGAGGGTAGGCCTGCCTTCCTGCCCTGGAACCCACGAGGGGCCGGCCCATTTCTCTGCTCTTCTCAACTACTCTTTCGTACATACAGAAGGAAATAATGGTCCAGGGATTTCAGACTTACTGAGAGACCAAGCAGAAAGATTTTCCTTTACTGTTCCTCATCTTAGCGCCTGACCTGGTATGGCACAGAGCGGGCATTGTGATCAACATCTACTCCCAGACCAGGGCCACTACTCCACCTCCCACACTGCTTGTAATGGGCTCTCAGTGACAAAATGCAGGGTGCCACCACGGGTCCATCATGACCCTGCATGCCCAACACATAGATATGCATGTGTATATGTGGGGGCAATATATAGTAATACACATACACGTGGGGGCACTTCAAAAAATTGGTGAAAAAAAGAAATTAAATTATGGATTTATTGGGGACCAGCAGATGGTGTAATGGTTACTTTGCTGGACTCCCACGTAGCCGACCACAGTTTGAGTCCTGGACCCGGCAGCTTAAAACTCACACTGGGTGTGTGTGCATGCGTGCCCAAGATACCGAGGAGAATGGAGAAGGGGCTGCAGCATTGCCATCCCTCCTGGGGGGTGATTTCTTGCTTTCTGTCTCCCTGTCTCTCTCTCTGACTCTCCGGCGAGTGCATACACCCTATAGCAAAAATCTTTCTTAAAAAATTAAAATTCATGCTGGGCATGTGTGAGTGTGTGCCCAAGACCCCAAGAGGAGAATGGAGGAGGAGGGAATGTGATGTGGCCATCCCTCCTGAGGGGTGATTTCTCACTTCCTGTCTCTCTGGCAAGCACACATGCCCTATAGCAAAAACCTCTCTAAAAAATAAATTAGCAACTAAAATATGGGCTTATTTTTGTGCAAAAAATTTTGAAATCCATGCATAGGTTTTTATATGCTTTTTTATTAGAGAGAGATTTTTGCTGTAGGGCACATGTGCTTGCCAGAGAGACAGAGAGAAACAGAGACAGAAAGCAAGAAATCACTCCCCGGGAGGATGGCCCATGCCACAGTCCCTTCTCCATTCTCTTCTTGAGATTTTTGGCATGCACACACATGCGCCTAGCATGAGTTTAAAGCCACCAGGTCTGGGACTCAAACCACAGTCAACTATGAGGGAGTCCAGTGATATAACCATTATGTTATCTGCTGGTCCTTTATATGCATTTTTTAAAAACAAGAAGACCCTGTCATTTGAAAGAAAGTGCGTGAATATGGAAGATTTACTGCTGAGTGAACCAAGCCAGGCTGAAAGAGAAACATTGTATGTCGCCACTAAATGTATACTGACTATCCACACTCTATGGCAGAAACTCAAAGATTAGAGGATATAGAAACATGGAAAATGGTTACAAATACTGGAGACAGTATGGGAAGAAGGTGGAGGAAGGGAGAGAGTGTAAAAAAAGGAATCAAGGAGAAAAAGAAGTAAGGTATTTATGGGACACAGAAATGGATGATGATCTGTTGATGATAATGTGTATGATATCTTCAACTGGACTAATGTAAACTTCTTTACGTTGGGTAATTCATTTTACAAGCTGTAGTGATGTATAATGATTAAAAAAGGAAACGAAACAAAAAACTGCCAGAGGGTATGTGTCCTTGCCAGAGAGAGAGAAAGAGACAGAGACAGAGAGAGAGAGAGAGACTAAGCAAGCGTGTGCACCTCTCAGTAGACTGCAATCCCTTCTCCATCCATCTCTACCTCCTTGGGGATTTGGGCACACATGCATGCACATGTGCCTGGTGTGTTTCTCAAGTTGCTGAGGCAGGGATGTGAACTGTGGTCAGCCATGTGGAATGTAGCTATTAACTTCTGTGCTATGGAGCCAACCTGAAAACACATATTTTCCATGAACTTTTTGGAGGTCCCAGGTTTATACATTTTTAAAGTCCCAGCTGCCTAGAAGAGCTCCAGAGTCTGCCTTTCCAGAATGCCTCATGCCTGGTGACCATTACTTCTGCCATCCCTCACGGCCAGGTACCAGACCTTGGTACCTCTCCCTTTAAAATCGCGAATGCCAACATTTCAGACACCCAGTTCTTTTCTTATTCCTCCTAAACCAGCTCCTCTGCCTTGTTGGCACCTCCAACCGCCGGCCACCCTCTTCTCCCTTCTCCCTGCAGTGATGGCCAACATCTCTGCACATCCTCTCTTCTCCAACAGCCTCATGCCCTCACCTCTTCCCCTCCACAACTCTCAATCAATTCCTTTTCCAGTGACACCCTCCACGGGTCCCTCAATGCTCCTTACCCATCGTTCTCCCCAAACCCTACCTCCTCCAAAGATGGCCTGGCCTCACCTCCAGAGGAAACATGGGCCTCAGCCAGTTTTTCTCTTTAGTTTCCTACCTTCCTCCAGGTGAATGTATCCATATTTACACAAACACGGCTACTGCAAAGCAGGAAGTGTCCTTCCTCCCCGCATAGGCCAAGTCCTCAGGGACCATAAGGTTTCCAGCCCCTGTGTGTTCCTGAGCCCTGATCCTCCTTTAGCCATGCCCTAGCTGGGCTGCTTGCTCGCCTTTCCCTCTTCATTTGAGCTTTACCTCGCTACCTCCCTGGCCCCCCAATACCACCCACACTCCAATACCCAGTGTCTGGCACACATTGGGGCTTGTAAACTTTGCTGACTTAATTAGTGGTGTGCCTGCCCCCTTTCCATACCCTGCTGGACCCTACCTGAGCTTATCCGCCACAAAGATGACCCGGCGCTCCAGCAGCAGTGAGGCAAAGATTCGGATGAGCTGGCGCACGCTGAGGCAAGTGAAAAGGCACTCAAAGTCCACATGCTCCAGCCGGGAGTCCATGGGCCGCCGCAGCTCCAACACCTGCAGGAGAGTGACTGGGAAGGTGGGCCACGGCAGGCTGGGTCCCTCCCCACTCTCTTTTCAAGGGCCTAGTCCCCCCACCATGCAGTTAGACCCAGCCTCCTCCTCCCTCAGACAGCAGCTCTGTTCCCATACTATTCTGACGCCCAGCGTGAGCCAGAGGGCTAAGTGGGAAAGTCAAGGAGCTCCAGAAAGGAAGGAGTCGAGGAACATCCATCAGGATCTCTTGGCAGGAGAGTCGATTGCTCTCACACGGCCTCAGTCATAGGTTTTTCCTGCCCATCTTCCCAGGCAAAGGTTTTGGCCCCCTGATGACCAGGCCCGATAGCCAATCATTGCTCTCCAGGCCACAGACAGGGCAACATTTCTGCATCCTAGGACTCTTCCTCAGCCATCTCTGGAAAGGCAATGGTGATGTCCTTGTTGGCATGTCCCCTCCCTTTCCTGCGAGAAAGAATTTCCTTCCAGAGGCTATGTTTGTCCTGCCATCCTGGCCTTTATCTCCAGTGCCCTAAGACCATACCAGGAACAAGGAAAGCACAAGGAAAGGGCTGGCCCTCTGCAACCCTTGCCAAGAAGCAGGCTGTCTTTATCAGGGCCAGGCCCAGCTCTTCCCTACAAAGGCTGCTGCCAAGGTCAGTGTCGGGGCTAAGAGCTGGGGTGGAGGGCAGGAGGGGCTGCTGACAGACAAGCTGTGCCCGAGCTGTCGCAGCCTACGGTCTCACCTCCGTTTCCTCGGCGCCTGTGGGCAGCATGATGTGCAGCCTCCTGAGACTGGGTCAGAGCTAAACCTTTTCAAGGGACTTCAGCCCCACACATCGTCTCATTTGCTCCTCAAAGTCTAGGCAAGTGAAGGGCTCTAACTCCCCGTTCAGTATTCATTCCTCCCAGCCCCAGAGAAGCAGCAAAATGGGCCAGAAAAATTTGTGTACACCCCTGTCCTACTGGACGGTAGTGTCCCAGGGGTCCATGACTGGCACAATGCAGGGTATACCCCAGATGCTCAGTAGGTGTGGCTACAGGAGTGCCTTGCCACAGTTATGCCAAGGCCCTCATACCTGAAGTCACAGTCCAGCTCCTGACCCTCCCTCCCAAGAATCCTGCATGCAGCCCATAGGCTTGGCTCCCCAGCACCTAGTCCCATACTCCTAACGCCTTGGGATCCAGGACCCCCCAGGAACTGAGAAGTCATGTAGCCTGGCCACGTGCCCTAGGCCTGAGAATCACAGCCCAGGAAGGCTGAATGAGCTTGCACAATCACAGCCGGGAGCCTGGCGTCAAGACAGGCAGGTGCGATTAACGTCTGCCTGCAGCTGGCAGTGTATCTGGGAAGGGCAGCCAACCCCATCTAGGACGGGGGAAGGGGACGGGGAAATACCACAGAGCACAAGATGCTTGACTCAGACTCCCTAGCGAGAAACGAAGGCAAGTGTCCTCTGGGCAAAAGGAAGCCAGGCCCAGAGAACAGAATTCAAGTCAGTGTGGTGAGAATAGGGCATGTGAGGGGGCAGGACTGGGTCTTGAAAACTCCCAGGCATCATGTCTGGCTACCAAAGCAGGACCAGCTATCCTCTCTGCAGACCACGGAAGTCCCTGAACCTCCTGAAGTCCCTTGAACTGAGGGTGGGAAGAGGCAAAAAGAAAGACTTGAGGGTCAACAGCTTACGATGGTTGGATCCCACATGGCCAACAGCACGGTTCGAGCCCCACACCTGGCAGCTTGACATACATGCCAGGTACACATACACACCTGTTCTAAATCTCAAGAAGAGAGGAGACAGGATGGCATGGCCATCCCCCGTGGGTAGTGCTTTCTTAGTTCCTATCCCTCTTTGTCTCCTTCCAGTAAGATATAGGGTGTGCACACCCTATAGCAAAAATTTAAAAAAACAAAAAGAACGACAGACAGACAGACCTGAAATGAGTAATCGCCACTGCCCAGCAAACCTAAGCCATTTCCTTAGCCAATTCCTCTCCCATTCTCTGCAATAACCAACTTATTTCTTCTTTTCTCTCCTGGAACCCAACGCTCATCTCTACTCTCAGAGGATGACCTTCTTTCCTATTTGGAGAAAATCGAAACCATCAGATGAGAAATCAAAATCTATAAGCCACTGAGCCTTCCTCTTCTCCTAACAAAAGCCAGTCCTGAGAAGCCGCCACCCATGCGTCTCAGTGACAGCCAATTATCCCCTCCCTTGCGTGCATCTTTAACCTCTTCCTCTGCAACCACTGGCACCAGCAGGCAAACGGTGGTCTTTAATAAACTCTTCCACATGTCCCTTCAACTACGGCCTCTTCCCCTCGTCGTTTTAACAGTCAAGCCTCTTGAAAAGATGTCTATATAGGCTGTTTCTACTGCCACACTGCCGTTCACTTCTCTACTCATTCCGCCTTGGCTCTGGACCCACTTCTGAAATCTGCTCTTGTCAAGGCATTTTGTATGCCTCATCCAGACCTCTCAGTGGCATCTGACTCGCCTGGTCGCTCCTTCCTCCTTAACACGCTCATTTTCCTTGGCATTGGAGCCAAAGCCTCTCCTGCGTTCGTACCACCCCAAGCTTCAGGGCTGCTAGTCCTCCACCATAGGGGTGGAGGGCCTTTACTTGTTGGGGTTCCTCCTAGAGGAGGCCCCAGCTCTGGGCTCTCTTCTCTTCCCTGTCTACAATCTTTGCTACTAAATATCCTCTCTCAGGTGTCTCACAGGTATTGCAAAGTCAACATGTACATAATTGAACGCTTCCCCCCCCCCTTTTTTTTTTTTAGGTTTTGCCATAGGAAGTGGGCACTTGCCAGATAGAGAGAGGGAAAGTGAAAAATCCCCCCCTGAGAGGCTGGCTATGCTGCAACCTGTTCTCCTCTGTTCTTTTGGGCACACACACACACATACCCAGCGTGATTTCCAAGCCACCAAAACCATGGTCGGCTGTGTGGAAGTCCAGCACCCCAACCAGCACACCACCTGCTGGCCCCTAAGCACTCCTCTTACCGCGCACTCCTCTGCCAAGTGCCCCCACCTCAGCACAGGGCTCATTATCTACCCTGCTGCTCAAACCAAAAAAAAAAAAAAAAATGCAGTTGGCCTTAAAATTTTATTCCCTACTTTGATCAAACAGTGCTATTAATCCTAATTCTGAAATACTTCTCAAATCATCTGCTTCCCTCCATTTTTTCTGCCATACCTTAATCCAAGCTACTACCATCTCTTGCTGGTACCACAGCCTAGTGTCCTGGTTGGTCTCCCTGTTCACACTTCAGCCCGTTATCTACATCATAGCCGGTGAATGGGTCCTACCATAACCCTGCTTAAGCTAAAATTCGAGACCCTTAGCAGGCCTCACTGGAACACTGTGATTGGTGCTGGCCAACTTATCACCCCTCCTCACTACTCTTCTGACCATCTTGGCCTTTTTTCTGTTCCTTGACCAAAACATGTACCTTCTCAACTTTGGCCTTTGCAGCAAATTTGTTGTTCCTTCTGCCTGGAATAATCTCCCATCCATGCTCTTTTGTTTCAGTCTCCCTCATCCCACTTCATCCAGTTGCCTCCTACTCACCAAATGGCACTTTCTCAGAGAAGGCCTTCCCTGGCCCTCTAACAAGCAGGCTCTCTGCTGTATACTCTCATAAGATCTTGTGCTTTCATTTGACTCTTAACACATTTAGAAATGATCTATTTATGTGTAAGAGTATTTATTTAACATAAGTATCTCCCACCAGACTAAAAGCTCCACAAGGATAGAGCTGAGTCCCTCCCTCTTTAATTTTATGACTCTGCCCCAAGGTCTAGAACAATCCCTGATTGCGAGGGAGCACATCTTCAGTAATTATTTAATGAATGAACAAAAGAAGGGAAGGTAGGATGTAGTTTAGTCAAAATGGATCAAAGAAGGCCCCTGGGGGGACAGCATTTAGAGCTGTTGCTCACTTTTTCACCCCTCAGACTGGGTATAGACATGGTGAGCAAGGACGGGCTGTGCTCTCTAACTTCCAGAGACCACAGTTTTGCAAGCCGGGTCTTACTCCAGCTCGTAGCCTGAGAGAAGGGGCAGCAGAAATCCCTACCTCATTGCCAGCACCTGGGAGGAATGTCTTCACTTTGATGGTCTTCCCTGGGGCTGGGAAGGGTGACTCCATGAGGCTTCTCATGAAGGGATAAACCAGCGCAGCAGAGATTCCACGGCGGCGCTCCACCTCATCTAGGACCTGTGCCCGAGAGGAAGAGAGTCAGAGACTGCCATTCTCCACCTCCTGGGCAGAGAAGAGGGCAGCCTAACATCTGCCCAAGCTAGGCCAGAAGCTGGGAGATGGGAAGACTGTCTTGCCAGGATCTTCCTATTCTCCATGGAACACAGTGACTGCTCTGTTCCCTGGCTGGTCTTGCCTCAGTCCCCAAGAACAGAGTAGTCAGGCACAGGAAATGCCATCTAGGCACTCCTGGTTTCCCAAAGGCCAGGGTGGGCTGTGACGGGAGCTGACACTGCAAGCGCAGGAGCTGGGGAAATGCCACCAGCGAGGCTGGGAGGCAGGCCTGGGAGTAAGGAGGAGTCAGAGCTCGCTCGCACTTGCTCTATCATTCTCTCCCCCTCCCTCACCCCACAGGTGGTTTTCTCATCTAAGCTGGCTGCAGACACTCCTATGGGAGCTGTCAGTGGAAGGGGCCAGGGGAGCAAGCCAGAGCCTCTTACCTTGGAAAACAAGCCGAAGCAGCCAAGACGGCTGATGACACAGTACACCTCTGGCAACCGAGGCCCTTTCCCACTTGGCTGAGCCGGGACGAGGAGGAAGAGAGACAGACAGACATAGAGAATGCATGATTACCACATCTGGCTCCTTTTCCTTGGGAACCGAGGACGAAAGACTGCCTCTCTAGTGGAGGGAGGCTTCAAGCCTCTTCTCAGCCTCTACTTGACCAGGCACCTTTGGGGAAAGGAAAGGCCACCACCCTCCAGGGCCAGACCTTATCTTCTGCTGGGTCTTCCAGACCACAATGCCAGGTTCCTGCCAAGTTCTACACATCTCTGCCCTTCATCCCATTACACTGATGGAGGCTGGCCTAGAACAAAGGAGTTTGGCAGAAGCTACAGGGAGATTTATGGCTTTATATCCTTGAGCTGGGACCCCCAGAGATGCGATAGAAATGAGAACTTGTGTATATCCTTAGGAGAAGTCACGTAGCCCTCACGGGACACTCTGCAAAACATCCCTTTTCTAAGTTGCTCTTTTTTCTCTTCTTGATCCACCCCATTCTAAGAGGGCACAGACTGAACATTCAACATAGACAATGGACAAGAAATACTATTTATTTAATGTTTTCTACACCTGAGTCCTGGGCTAGGTACTTTACAAAAAACTTGTGAGAGAGGCATTATTAGCCCCATTTTACAGATGAGGTAACTGAATTCAAAAAGATGAAGCCACTGCCTAAAGTCATGTATCAAGAAGCTGTAGAGCCAGGAATCTGGTTTGGCCTCAGTTTCCACTGTCTTACCTATAAAGCCTGCTGCTTTCTGACAGGAAGGAATGGAAAGAGATACAGAGATGCAGAGTAAAGGTATGCGATGAAGTAAAGGCAAACAAAGAAACAGAGAGTTTTGGGTACCAGCAGTTAGCGTAATGGCTATGTCACTGGACTCCCATGTAGTTGACCGTGGTTTGAGTCCTGGACCTGGTAGCTTAAACTCATGCTGGGCATGTGTGCGTGCGTGTCCAAGATCCCGATTGGAGAATGGAGGAGAAGGGATTGCAGTGTGGCCATCCCCCATTGGGGTGATTTCTCACTTTCTGTCTGTCTGTCTCTCTCTGCCGTTCTGGTGAGCGCACATTCCCTATAGCAAAAACCTCTCCAAAATAATAATAAGAAGAATAATAATTTTAAAAATTAATAAAGAAATAAAGGGATTTCAAAGGTGGGCAGGCCCAGCCATGGTAGTGTGAGCAGGAGGGCACCATTGCACGAAACTGGAGCCACATGGAAAGGCCCAGGGTTCGGATCTGGCTTGACTTGAACACATGGCTGTGCCTGTCATTCTGGCTGCCTGAAGTGCTGGTGGGGGTACTGAAGTGAGGCAAGACCCTATTAAGGGTCTCTATTTCCCTCCTTCCCTCTCTCACAGTAAATAAATAAATTAAAACAAAAACAAAAACAAAAAGCTGGGCAGCTGGAGGAAGCATGCTGAGAGCTCAGGCCTGGAGGCTCAGAGGCTTGCAGGGCCTGGCAAGGCCAAGTGCAGAGGGAGCAGAGGGAGCAGAGCGGCAGGTGTTTTACTCTTGCGCAGGCTGCTAAGCAAACGCAGATGGGACCATTTCAGTCTCCAAACCTGCTAGCCAACGTCACAGATCTAAAGAGAAGGCAGAATCTGTTTTTGTCCATATTAGGCCTGAAACTCACTCCTCTCTCCTTCCCTCTCCCCCGCCTCCACTAAAGCCCCAAGTGATTAAATCAAGTATGTGGGATTTGGGTTAGAAACATTGTGTCCAATCTGCAGGAAGCCAGCCCCCTTGGCAGGGTCCCAGCCCAGGCCCTCTCTGAGTGCGCCAGGACAAACACGCGCTTCCCCGGGGGCAGCAGGCCCACTGCAGGGAGCAGCTCTGCTCCATCCATGCTCCAGCAGAGGCAGCCTCGGAGCAGCACTCCTCTTCGGGCCCAGGGGAACTGGGGCAGACCAGCCTCTGCTGGCTCCCTGCCTGGCAGCTGTACTGCTCCCCATTCCCTCAGTCCCCCACTGGCATTCTGTATCCAAATAGCCCTCTTCCCAGGCTCTCCTTTGGGGTGATCCAAAAGTACCAGGATGCTGATAAAGGGCTCAGAGTCAGCTCTGGCTCTGTCCCTCACTGGCTGTGTGATCTTGGGCCCGTCCTTACATCTCTGAGTCTCAGTTTCCTAATCTTTAGAACAGGGATAAATAGCACCCCCTGGGCTATGACGAGGATTAGGAAAAAGACATACTTGAAGCATTAGGTTGAACATGGTTGGTCCTAAACTCATGTGTACTTCTGGCCCCTCTTTTCTAGGTGGAAAGTGTGACCTCCTCCAATAGACATCTAGAGTAGGATCTGTATCGAGCTCACCTTCATGTGCCTCCGGCCTAGGCCTGACTCTCCACAGAGTAATAGTATTCTGAATGAGTGAATGGCCCAGATTCTTTCTTTCTTTTTTAAATAATTATTTATTTTACTTATCATTATTATTATTTTTTTAATTTGCAACAGAACATGCATGTTCACCAGAGACAGAGAAAGAGACAGAAAGTGATAAAGTGATAAAGCAAGCTGCCAGATTCAGGACTAAAACCACAATCGGCCATGTGGGAGTCCAGAGCCTTAACCACCACACTACATGCTGGCCCTGCAGATCCCTTAAGGTTCCTGCCATATATCACCCCTGCCTAGAATCCTTCTCATCTACCCCTAGATTGGTACCTGGTCAGGCCTTTTCTCACAAAGACCTGGAAATTCGGGAACACTGTTAGCCACCAATGACTTCCGGGGGAGTACCCCAGGAGCCAGGCTTTGGGCCCCACCCTCTCCAGCTCTCTGTGCCTCTGTCTCAATCAGTGTTCCAGAATTAATGTCAAGGGACATGGGGAAGAAATTTGCTCTTTAGAAATGGTTTGAATTTTCAAAGTCCAATCCTGTTCCCCTAATTGCAAGGCGTCTCTCCCAGAGTCCCTGAGAAGGTACTTCTATCACCCTGTCAGCCTCCAGCTCTCCTGGACCATAGACAGGACTCCTCCCCAGTAGGCTGGTCAGGTATGAGGAAGAGGAAGGTTGTCCGCCACATACTGGCCAGGGTGATGTGATCCTGTGACCAGAGATCAGTAATCCAAACCCGTAATTCCAAGGAAAATGAACAAAAAGTATAGAAAAGCTAAAAAGGTATGATAACCCAGTAGAGGGTGACCTACTCCCTCTACCTAGTGCAGACAGATCCTGTGGACCACTCAGAAGGACTGCTCTGAGCCCTACAATCCAAAAGTAGCTGGGGGGTCCTCACCTGTGACAGTGTGTGTGTGTGTGTGTGTGTGTGTGTGTGCACGCGTTGGCAGGGGAAGCCCTAGGGTGCAGAACATAGGATCGAATGGCCCTACTCACCAGTAAGCGCCTGCAGTAGCCAAACCGTCTGCTACCATCTTCCCCAGTCAGCATGAAAGAAAAGGTCTCACTGGAACAGGGAGAGATCTGGCATCAAGGGGCTATCAGAGGACCCAGGAAACAGGCCCCTAAGAATAGGGACCACCATCTCAGGGTGGGATGAAGGGCTGGGTTGCTGTAGGGGAGTAGGTTGGGAGCAGGGAGGGCCCCACTCAGCTGCCCGCTGCTATGGGGTGAAAGAAGTGATGCAGCCTTTCTCCCTCCAGCCAGCCCGGGGCCAAGCCTCACCTGCTGTACTCTGACACAGGGAGCCAGTCCTTGGCATCAGGGAAGCAAAACTGGGGAATGGCTTTGAGCCTTTCCTCTGCCTCCCGCATCTGCTTGGTGGGTCGGTCCAGCTGCAGGGAAGAGGAGGACAGGGAGAGGTAAAGAGGTGACATGGAACTGGGGGCAAGGGGGAGGGGGGACAGGTGGAGAGAGGATGAGAAGCACTTCCTTCTGCAAACCCTAGATGCCATCCTACCAGCTTGCAGGCTTCTCAGCAACCTGTGCCTCACTCTGAATCCTTTCAGAGTCTGAGAATGCATTCAATCGCCATTCAAATATTCATTCAACAAAAGCCAACCCAACACTTTCGTGTGGTGTGACACTGGGCTGAGTGCTAGGACCATCACTGGAAACAAAGCGGACAAGGTCTTTGAACCTGTACATTCCGGTCAGGTCAGCGAGATAAACAACAAAATTTCAGAGGGTGCCACAAAGGAAATAAGCAGAGTGGCAGGACAGAGAGAACTGGGAAGGAGAAAGTACTGCCCAGAGGTCCTGCCTGAGCAGAGACTGAAACATGAGGAAGAGCCACAGCATGTGGAGAGCTGGACAATGACCACTCCAGGCAGAGGCAATGGCAGAGAAGGTCTGAGTGTTACAGGAAGACCAAGGAGACCAGGCTGGCTGGCTGGGCCTGAGCAGAGGAGTGGTAAGAGAAGGAAGGTGAGAGAAAGGGGAGTGACTGCTCATGGGTATCGGGGTTCTTTTGAGAGTGACAGAAGGTTTCTAACATTGCTTGTGATGATGACTGTGTAACTGTAAATATCCTAAAAACCACTGATTGTAAACTTTAACTGGGTGAATTGCATAGTATGTAAATTGTATCTCAATAAAAATGATTTAAAAGAAAGAGAAGGTGGGAGAAGTAGCTGGGAGTCTTAGGGGTCAGGACCCTCGCAGCTCTTATAAACCATTTGGGTTTTAATCTAAGCACACAGTGAGGTGCTCTCCCAGCTCTGATCCTCTGACTCAGCAATGGCCCCAACCCTAATCCTCTGAAGCCCCCTGGGGCCAGGAGGAGGCAGACACAGAGCTGTTGCAGCCAGGTGTGGACCTACAACAGGAATAGAATTTCCCTTCTTCCCCAGATAGGCCAGGCAGACAGAAGTCGGCAGAGGAGGGGCATGGGGAAGGCAGAGAGATGGCCTCACCTTGGGAAACTGGTAGGAGACTTCAGGGAGGTAGGTGTTTCGGGATGGCTTCTTCTTGAGGGACACCACCACAAAGTACTCAAAAAGCTCCCGCTCCTGCCACTCGAGCAGCTCCAGCTCCAGCGTCCGATAGCTGGGTGCACGCTTCAGCATCGACTGGATGTGGACTAGGCGCTGCGTGTGGGCTGGGGAGTCACAAAGCAGGCTGGACCTCACAGGCCTCATGTCAGTCCCCCGCCCGAATCAGGGCTCCATCTATGAAGGTCACCTCTAAGCACATGAGCCTAGTCTAACACACACCCAGCCAGGTTGGGGGAAAAGTGGCAGGGACAATGTGTTCACACCTGCATCAAGACTGCTCTAACCCAGGAAGCTACTGGCCTGGTCCTGGAGCTTCTGGAGGCTGAGCTGGGGCCAACAGGACTGCTTGGCAGGCAAACCCAGGGGTGAATAATTGGTACCAGCCCACCCTGACCAGATGAGTGGAATGTCCATAAAGGTTTCATCCTTGGGCCCCTATTAGAGTCCTTGGACTTGGACCCTTTGTCCCTATCCATAGGCCCAAAGTCCACTTTCCCATTGCCTGGGGGCCAGTAGAGGAAAGGAGGAGAAAGCAAGCTCCTCACACTTTAATCACACAGGAAGGTCGAGGCTAGGCAGGGTTTCCCAGTAGAGAAAACAATAAAGATTTGTCCAAGGGAAAATGAGGTCCCAGAACCTTTTCAGGGAGGTGGCAATCTCCTCTCGGGGAATTGAGAAGATGGGTGGCCTCAAAGCTTCTAGAGGACAACTTCCTCAGCCCATGGCACACTTCTTACAACCAGAAAAGATACCTGTAATCTTCTAAACCCATCTCTGACCCTCCAGATTTACCAGGCAAATCCAGCACCCAAGTCCCATGGGCAATGACTTGGGAAAGTGTGGGCAGGACCTTGAACCATAGATTTGACAAAGGGATTCATCGGATCCAACCTTGCAGGCTGAGCTTACATATCTGTGTGAACAGACTTCTCTAGAACTCCCTGCTCCACTGGCTTGGTCTCTTGCCTGCCTGCTGACTCTCCACACCAGGCCAGTTTGGGACACTAGAGATACATATGTGGAGGAAGGAAAGGCTGATCCCCGGGGTTCTGTGCTCCTGGGCAGCTGTGCCTCACCTTTGAACCTGTCGTCAGAGTCGCTCTCGCTCTCACTGTTCTCATCTGAAAAAGTAATGACAGGAGTGTGTGTGTGCTGAACCACTGCCCCTCCCAACTCCCAACTCTCGGTGCCCACTTCCAACTTTCCCCACGTCTGCACTTTGTTGGGGCTGCCATGGGCCTGCGGACAGGCATCTGAGTTAAGTGGCCTGGGGCCAGGGACCCTCAGATCCCAGACTGCAGGTGCTAATCTATATTTGCACCCCTACCCAAGCCTGATCTGGAAAGAGCTGAGGGCCCAGGGTGGAGGCTGAGCCAGCAGAGAGGCCTAAAGGCCTGGAACATCAGAGCCCTGCCTCCGGGAGGCCAAGATTTGAAATGGGAAACAGACGATGTGCTCAGTAAGTCTGGCCTTTCCTTTTGCCAGAATCAGATTCCCACATGCACCTCCCTACTCAGGGCCTCATAGCTCAAAGCCTCAAAAAACCCATCTCAGAGCTTTCTGCCCCTGATTAGGCCCTCCCTCCTAAGTGGCCATTTTGTGGCAGGGCCCTACCCTCCTACAAGGTGGACGGACTCCATGGCTGGCCCATGGACCGGGTACCTGAGGCCAGACCATGCCTCTCCCCATTCCAAAGACATCTGAAGCAGCTCAGGCATCCAGGCCTACCTCTCAGTGATGCTGTCTCAATGCTGGACATAGATAGCTTTTTTAACCTCTTCTTTCCCCTCTTGGCATTATAGATGGAGTTAATTCTTTGGACGAGCTGGATGAGAAAAGGAGGGAGGGTGAGGAACCCTACCATCAACTGCCCTTCTTCCCAGAAGGCTGGTTAGAAATTCATCCTTTCCTTTACTGGTGCATGCTTTCTGCAAGCCACCCACAGGGCCCAGTATTGGACTGAACCTCTGGACACTCGCCAGCCATGCCTGGTGGCTCTTCATCTTCCCAGTCCCCTAGGAGGGTCCTCTGCTCCAAGACAAGGTCACTAAACTTAGCTCCCCAGAGGAAGGAACTGTGATCAAGCTAGACAGGATGGGAGCTCCTGGGTCCCAAGAGTCACTGAACCAACTGAGACAAAGAGCTCCTCAGATGCAATAACAGGAACAAAGATTCTAGCCTTTTCCCTCTGGGCTATAACCTGAGGCCCTGACAGGAAGAAGCTAAATTCCCAATATACCCAAGCATTGTTTGCAAGCTAAAAATACCATTTGGCTAAATCCTGCTGCTTTGGACTGGGGATTCGGGCCTGGCTGCCTATAAGCGAAATCATTGTTGAAAACTCTGGTTCTGAGTTATAGAAGGGAAAACCCATGTCTGTAGCCTAGATCCTTGAAAGCCTAGAAATGTTTATGGGTGCAAAGAGACCCCAGCACCCACACCCACCCACACACTCACTACGGGGAGCCTTGGCTAGCCTTCCCTTCCTCTAACATCTGAGCACCAAGAATCAGGCAATGCATCTATCTCTATTGATTAGAAAAGGGAATTAACCAGATGAAAATGAGACCAGTTCATGGGCCCAGAATTTATTCAAAGGAAAATGAGGAAGCAGCCCAGATTAGGGAGGAAAGGAGGAAGGAAGGGAAGAAGGCAGGCAGGCAGGCAGAGGCAGGTGGGCAGGCGAGAGAAGAGCTGGCTCCTTGCTGACCACCTGCCTGCCCCACTGGGTTGTGTGGGGAGGATACCTTGGGGACACGGCGGGCCCGGCGGCTGGACAGCAGCTCACTTGTGGTGCTGAGGCTGTCCTCGTTGAGGCTACAGGGGGAAGATGGCAGGCTCAGCTGGGCCAGCAGCAGCATGTCGTCATGGCTGTGCCTCTTGGGTAATCGTGGCAGCCGGTGGCTCTTCCTCTCTGACCAGTTCCCACTGCGCAGAGACTGGCTGCTGGGCTTCAGGGAGAGCTGGCATGGGGAGAGGACATGGGGGGAGGGGGCTCACCACAGGAGTCTTGACCAGGCCCCACCTGCTGGGACCTAGACACAGAAGCCACAGACTAGAATCCCTGCATCCCTCAGTCCTACCCTGGGAGTCTCCATCCCCCAGGGCTTCCTGTCCTCAGACCTCCCCGGCTCATCAGCCAGGTCAGGGCTAGATTGGGTAGCTGCTTCCTAAAGGAAGTTTCATTATTCCTGCCAGAAAAAAAAAAAAGAAAGAAACCAGCGGCTAAGAAACCTGCATTCTTAATAGGAAGGGAAGGCAAAGGGGATTCTAGGGGTCCTCCTGATCTTTGGGACAGGATTAAGCCTGGACAATAAAAACAGTCATCCCCACCTGAGCCAGTCCCCAAAGGCTTCTGCTAGTGGACGCCACAACCCACAGGCGAGTCTGCTCTGCTGGGCGATCCAGGCAACCTGGCCCTGCTCACATCCCCAGAGAGGACACAGGGCTCTGGGCTCTGACTACCAGAGCTGGGCAAAGCAGGCCTCCTTCTCAACCCTGCCCTCCATGTGGGCTGACTCTCAGCACATGGCGTCTTCTTCCCTGGATCTGGAAGGCAGGCATCCCACAGCTTCCCACTGCTGGGGTCTGGAATTGCCTCTCCTTACTCTTCGAATCCTCCTTCTTCCACAGCCCCTATGTCCTTTTCCTACCCACCAATCTGGCAATATAAATGCAGTAGAAGAGTGTTTGAACAGAGCACATCAGCAAATAAACCGCTTATAAAAATGATTGCATTGTTCCACAGCCAGGAGAATCATTTTTACATTCTTTGCCAATGTTATAATATCCCTGTCTCTCCATGTGCATAGAGAAAGAGAATTGCCAGGGTAGGTCGGAGAAAGTCTCTCTAAGTTCCTGCCTCGGATCACTTTGGACAAGACTAGAACAAGCTTCATTCCAAGAGCCTCTTTAGGCTTTTCACTTTCCCCATTACTCTGCCTTCTCTCTGTCCATTCCTCTAAGATTCACACTGACTCCCTTCACAGGAGTGGCTCCAGGAGGTGTGTACATCTGTCTGGTTCTACAAATCTGGTTTTGGGGCCCATACCTGGCCCCCAAACACTAGTACTGAGAGAATTTCTTGGTGCAGGACACCAAGACTCCAACCAGGGCCTGCCTTCCTAGCTCCCACAGAAAAGGAAATAGAATAATGAGACAGGAACTGCAGGAGCTTCGTTGTGCAGCTCTGCACCTGGGTCTTGAGGGAATGATGGGAGGCTGGATGCCCTGAGAACACATCTCAGAGCCCACAGGGGTTTCAACATGGCAGAAGTGCCTGAGTGAGAGCTCATTCCAGAGGTGATCTTTGCCAAGCACTAGCGAGGGAGGCAGCTAGAGTGGAAGGGCTGAGAGGTCAGGCCCCCACTATGGCCCTCAGGCTGACCCTGCAGGCCACCCTGGGGGCTGCGTTACCTGAGAGGGAGGGTTGTTGTACTTCCTGTCCTGAGGACTCCACATCCTGTGCAAAGAGTCCAAGGAGTTCTCCGACACTTGCTGGGATTTTCGTCCTGCTCTTCGGTTCTTTAAGTCCACATCCTCATATGGATTCTCCTTGGGCAGATCTCCTGCAGAGGAGGAAAAGTTAAAGGAGGAGAAGGGAAGAAGGAAACACACGGACGGAGATGGACACACACACACACACACACACACACACACACACACAAATAAACAAGCAGAATTCCTGTGAACCAGAGAGAATGGCTTTTGCCTGGCCCCTTCGGCTCATGAGTCACGCAGCTGCCCGTCTGCAGTGGGGAGGCTACGCACAGATCCTGGCTCCAAGTCCAGGAGCTGAACACCCCCCCATCCCCACCCCAGTTCGGCTCAACTCAGCCTTGTCTGGCCTCTGCTTTTTAAATTCAGGGATTGCACAAGACTGGCTCAGCTACCCCTGCCTGTGCCCAGCCAGAGGACAAAGCCAACACCAGAAGTCTTTCTTTGGCTCCAATTCCTCTGCTGCTAAAGTCCAGAGAAGCACAGTTCAAGGTGGAAAAGGCTTTCAGGGGTCACACAGTTGTCCCTTTACCCAATTCTCAATGGGTCACCCTGCAGTGGGCAAGAAGGACACACAGAACTCCAGGGAGCTGGAACCCAAAGAACTCCAGGGAGTAGGGCTATACCAGGCCTTCCCCTCACCCACTACACTGCTCAAAGGGTCTTTGAGGGCAAGCGTTTTGTCTCAGAAGCAGAACACAAATAGTAAGTGCAGAGTGTTATTCATTCGATGCATCTCTCTTAACAATAGCGTCAGTCTAGTTTCTCCTCTGCTGATCTCAGCAAAAAGAGAACTAGCATCACTCCCCTTTTGGAATAAACTCTCCTGATGTGACACAGGGGAGGCGTGAAAGGCTTGGAAGGAGTCTGGGCCAAAGAGTGGGGTGGAAGAGTTCTTGCTTCTCAGGATGAGTTGCTAAAATCCCTGGCAGTGGGCACTGGATTGGTACTGCCAGACAGTCTCAGAGGAGTCCAAAACACAGGCCCTGCCTTTGAAGAACACGTGATCTTGAGAGACACCCATTCCCATAAACTATACCTTCCTGCTCATTCCCGTCCAATGCATACCGAGACTTTTCTAAAACGCAATAATACCAGGAGCCCTGTCAGTGCTGGCTCAATCCCGGCAGCAGAATCATGATGGGGGAAAGATTTATGAGGACTCTGAGTGAACACAGCCCTCGGCTCCCCTTTTCCGTGTCTTCCCACATCTTCCCTGGTCCCCAGCACCACTGCTCAGAACTTGGCATCTCGGCAACTGACCAGAATAAGGCTCTGCTGGGGGCAGCACACAGTGAAAGCAGGCCTCCTCCTGTGGCTCTGTTCTCCAGCAGGAGCGGACGGGGTGACACTGGACCCCACACCTGTCCTACACACGTCTGACGTGTCCCTACTCCTCAGGGAGCAGGCCGAACAGAGTGGATTAGAAACAGGCTGCTGGGAGTGCAAGTTTTCTTAGATGGGACATAGGAGAAAAAAAAAAAAAAATCAACCCCTCCATAACCCTTATCAGTTCCTCAATTTCTAAGGCTGAGGTTCCCCCAAACAGTGGCAGCTACTGATTACTGTCATGAATAACAACAACAAATTTAGGAAATGTCTTTACAGAGGTGAAGGGAGAATTTCAGCCACAGATAAACAGACTGCAGTGGGACTAATACAAATCTCTATAAACTTGAGTCAAAGATGGGTCAAGAAAGGATTTGGGAATAGATTAAGTGATTCCCAACACCAAGCAGAGTCCCTAGCAGTTGAGCAGACCTTTTCCTGTAACACAGTCATGCTATTAAAATGACTTGTCTTCATTCCAGGGCCCTGAGTCAGCAGCACTGGCTCAGCAGCCAAGTATCAAACCGGCATCCCTCCATGCTCTCTCCAGCCCAACCCACTGTGGGGCACTTAGGGAGAGTCAGGATCATTCTCCCCTACTTGGTCCCCCTCCAACCTAGATCCTGCAGGGGTGAGATGGCAAGGGATTAAGAATGGGAGAACACCTATAAAACAGGACCAGAGCATCACTGTCCAGATCGGGGCAGGGAGAATATTTATTCCAAGTCCAGCAAATCCAAACTGCCTCCAACTTATGGGAGGACTTGTCTCAACCCTTTGAGATGGGGGTTCCTTCAAGCCACCGACATTCTGGGCTGGATAATTCCTGCAGTGGTGGATGGTCCTATCTTTCTGTAGGATGTTTAGCAGCAACCCTGGCTTCCCTCTACTAAATGACATGAGCATCTCCTTAGTTATAACAACCAAAAATGTCTCCAGATACTGGCAGATGCCCCATGGGGGCAGATAGATGGATGACGTATGAATAGATGGCTAGATAGAAGGAAGGACAGAAGGATTCAGTGCCCCCTGCCCCACTGAGAACCACTGCACTAGACAGATATTTCTCAACTTCCTAACAGCTGCTGAGGGCCATGACATGACCCCCAAGGCTAACTCACTTTTATTCCATTCTTCCCTTCTCTTCACTCTCTTCCTTCTCTTCTTTTTCCAGAAGTGGAACTTTGGTTACTGACACAAAATCCAAAGCTCCAAGAAAAACATGCAGGATATTGATGCCTAGGGAAGTAACAGACATACAATATTGATGCCTATCATTGGCAGCCTAGGTGAAAACAGTCGGAAACACCAGGTTCTCAAGACTGGTACCACCCCTGCAAACCAGATTGCAGGAAGGCCTCAGACGCCTACTCCTCCTGCCCAGCCCTAAGGTCACTCACTTTCTTCTCCAGCAATGTTTAACATTCTCTCTGATACAACCAAGCCACTAATCGCTTCTCCAGGAAATGACTGCTGGCCCTAGCCCAAACCCTAGCCTCAGCCTCGTCCCTTCATAGCTCTAGTTCACCTGCCACTCCCAGCTTCCTAGGCCACTCATGACTACTCTTCTGGAGTGACAGAAACACTTCCAGTCATATCTCTAGGCCAGGGGAATGAATTGAGTAGTGACACCCAGTAAAGACTTAGCAGAGGCATGGACAGAAGACAGGGGCTGGACCAGCAGGTAGTATGGCAGTTAAAGTGCTAAACATCCACATGGCTAACCATAGTTTGAGTCCTGGATCCAGCAGCTTGAAAATCACACCAGGCATGTGTGCATACATGCCCAAAATCTTGAGAGGAGAATGAGAAGGGATTGCAGTGTGGCCATGCCTCCAGGGGAGTCATTTCTCACATTCCCTCCATCTTTCTTTGGTGAGCACATGTGCCCTGTGGCAAAAACCAAAACATAAAAAATACAGGGGCCTGGCAAGCTGTCAGGCTCTCACCTGCATTCCTGACCACACAGTGTCCTCAGGATAATCCATACTGCAGTATTCCCCAAAGACCTGACCCTGAGCAGGCCCCATTTCCCCAAGTCCAGCTGAGGAAGCCGAGGGTTCAACCTTTCCCAGCTTTGCTGATAAGGGACAAGGCAAGGGCATCACAGAGAATTTCTGCTTTGCATGCTTTTAAAAGGGGCTTGCCAAAGCCCAAACTTACTACCCTGAAACTCTTCAAGGAAGAACCAGCGTCACCAGGCCCCGCTCCACTCCTCCCCACAACTCTTTCAGCTGGTAACCACGTGTGCAATGGCAGGAGATCGGGGTGTGTGGACAAGGTTGAGGAGGGAGCCCATCCCTCCCCTCTACATGACTGGAAGAACCAGTTAGAGAGGGGGAGTGTCTATACACAGGCACTGAGAATTTCTCCAAACAGATCCTAAGCTTCCTAGACCACACCCATGGCCAGAGCCCTGGATCTGCAGCTTCCCTTTCTAGCCCCGCTCTGTTCCAACCAGCTGTTTCTCCTGGTTCTTAGCCACCCCCCCTCCCCCCCACCGTCACACAGCAGAGAAAGGGCCAGGCGAAGGGACCTGGCAATAGGGACCTCTACCAACCCAGCTGTTACTCCTCTCCCCCAAGCCTTCATCCCAGCTCCCAGCAACCCCAGCACCTTTCCCTGGGCTGCACCGCTTGGCTGCTTTGTTTCTTGCCGCAACCTCCGTCCTGGTGGGCGCCCTCTGTTCCTTGCTCTTTCCCAGTCCTGGGGCAAGTAAGAAAAAAAGGCAGAGAGAATGGAGGCTCAAAAGGCTCTGCAGTACAGGCAGACTGGCCCTGTCCCCAGCTTGCATCCCATTAAAGTTTCTGGAAACTTCCCTCAGCCCCAGCTAGCTGATGGGAGTGGGAATATGCCACAGGCTCCTTGGTCCGGCGCCGAGGCCACTCCACATAACTCCCTAACAAGCTGCTTCCTTGGGTGCATTTTTAAGTGTCAGGCTCAGAATGTGGATGACTATAAGGCTTTGCAGAATAGCAGCATCTTCCAGGGGCAGATGTCAAAATGTCAAGCAAGAAGGAACAGCACCAAGAAGCAGTAAGGCAGCGGCTTTCTTTGTGAACCCCTCTATTATAAATTGGCAGGATGGACCTCTGCCTGTTTAGAAGTATCCCAGCCCACTTCCCCAGGCCATATGCTTGCTGTGGGTGAGACGCCAGCAAACTCCTCAAGGTCTCTTGTTTAAGTCCACATTAGTCTCTGGGTCAGCTGGCCCTCATCGCTTACAGACCAGGAACTACAGTCCAATCTGTTAGGACCCAAGATGGAGATTCAGCGGGATGCTCTCTGTCTCCCACACATCTCCATTATCACATGCCCAAAACAAAGCTCCATTTGTCCCTGTGGAAGTGAGGCAGCTCAAGAGCTGGATAACACGGCCCAAATCAGAAACAACCTTAATCTCACAGAGAGCAGGCTGAGCCAAGACCAGAGACAGGGCTCCTGAGAAGCCAGGCCCATGGTTCATTCATGCTGTATGGGGACACGATGGTCTGTCCCCAAAGGCCCATGTTCTGAAATTTGGTTCATTCGGTGTAATGGCGTTGGGAGGTGGTGAGGCCTAGTGGGTGGGGACTGTAGCACAGTGACATGGCCCTCATGAACGAATTAATGCAGGACTGAGTGAGTTCTAGCTCTCATGAGAAGGGCTTAGAAGGGTTCTTACAAGAGTGAGTTGTTACATAAGGAAGGTAGCTGACCCTCAGGCCTCTCTCTGTACCTTCCTGCCATCCTCCCTGCTTTGGTAAGCCATGTTGTAACCAGCCTGATGCCAGCCGCATGCCTTTGGACTTTCCAGCCACCAGAATCAGAGTCAAATGGAACTCCATTCTTTATAAATCACCCAGTCTCAGGTATTTCTGTTAGCAACACAACAGGACTCAGTCACCAGGAAAACAGTAAAATTGGCCTTCAGAGTTCAACAAGAGATTCCCCCCTTGAATCCCCTAAGAGGCTCCAAATTCCTAATATTCTCCCTTGTATTTCCCTCTATCCCCCTCCCTGGTCAGGTTCTCGAACTTCAGGCTGGGTGAATATTGGGGATTCGGAGGAAGGGAAACATGCCCAGGGCACTGTCTTAAACACAGATTCTTGACTACCATCCCCACCCCAACGGGCTACCTCTCCCACTGCCAATACCATCCAACCAAACATAAAGGTAGTAAACTCCAATACAGGCACCTGGGTCACTTCTTTGTCCTCTCATACACACCCTCCCATTTTCTTTCCCCTTCCCTCCAAACAGTGTTCCAAAGATCTAGAAGCTAGGTGGGCAGTTAAGGAAGACAGCCAACTCCAGCTTCACCTCAGCCCTAGCTCATCCATCCAAGAAGCACCCGAGCTTCCCCTCCATTTACTTATCTCCTCACACAACATCTCCCATGGAGAGACGTCTTCTCTAGTGAGTGAGGAGGCACAGACCCAGACACACATGCCTCCCTCTCCCCCTTCTGTCCAAACTGACCTAAGAATGCTCAGGGAACAGCTCTATCACCTAGGGCAGTACCTCCAGGATGCCTCCCACAAGGCGCTGCCCCAAACAAGCCTGAACAGAGCCCCTGAAGTCATCCCTTTCCCTTATTTCAGTTTAGATGGTCAGTTGATACCCCCACCCAAACTCCCAGGACAGTACAGGAGGGCAATCTAAGGCTTGTCAGGGGACAGAGAATAGTGAGGTCCATAGTGTTGCCAGTGCCTGGAATGGTGGGGAGGGGCAGAAAACTACACCTCCGCCCATCGTAGCAGCTACACTGTTGCTCCCAAGGCCCTGTGCAGCAATGGCATGGGACACTATTTCTGCCAAACTAAAGGGAACTGAGACGTACCCTGCCATGAGGGGTGTGGAGGGGACAAGGCTGGGATGAGGGGGAGAGGGACCAACAACTCACTGGAGAGGATGTCTCTCCACCAGAGAAGGTGCATGAGCAGGTAAGAAAACGCAGGGGCAGCTTGTGTGCTTCTGGGATGGATCAGGAGTAAGATCACCTTCCTCCACTTCTCGTCTAGCTTCTGGATCCTTGCCTCTGATCCCAAAGATCAAAGCTCTTGACTTGACCTCAGCTCTGGGTGACCTATGGGTACAAAGCTAGCTTTCCCCCATGGATAAGGGAAAAGGCCTCCTTTTTGCTGTTCTAGGGAGCTTACTCCCGCAATCTTCTTGTGATGAGCCAGTTTTTCATGGCTATATACCAAAAACTCAGTTCACGGGAAAACAGCATCTCTGAGGGTCTGAGCACAGCTGTTGTCTCCCCAGAAATGCTGGCCCAGCAGGCTGTAAGGAGAAAACTATGAAACTGATGGCTCAGATCAAAAGAGGTACTAGATGGTCCTCGTTTGAAAGTCTAGCCTTCTGAGAATCTGGAAGGTTCTCCCTACCCAGGCCTCTTCTCTCTCTAATGTGTTGACTAAGACTATGCTCTTCAACTTGGGTCTAAGATAGAGGGAAAGA